TTTTAAGTATTTCCTTCTACGAAATTGCGGTTGACAACAACTTTGGTAAGAGTTAAGTCCAGGTCTCCAAACTTATAACTCTACATTTACTCTGTATCAAATTCCAATGTGAAAATCATAGGATACCATCAATCGTGAATCGAACGCACCAAAGGGGGGCAGGGATCATAGGGGCATTTAGCCCCCCCCCCTCAGAACATAAAAATTTCGGACAAGTAATCTGATTCGTGACGCTCTTGGTTCTTAGCTGAAAGTGAAAACATTTCAAACTCCTTCGGCATCTACTTATACTTTGTAACACTAAATATTATGCTTCGCGATCTCTGAAAAGACAAACAAAAGGAGCACACTTTCCACGAGAAAGCTTTTCCAAATGTGAAACGAGGCACTTTTTCGACAAACCACCAGCCCTTCCCCACAGTTCATGTGTTTCGAGAGGACAATTGGCAAATATTCATTGCTAAGAATCGCTGTCAAAAGGAAACTATGATTTTTGGGAACTGTTTTTAAGCCTTATGTTAAGGGGCAGCATTAGGAAAGCTACAACACATTATCCCCGAACATTTATAACGCTGCAGAGGCTCTCTAGTTACATTCTCAACCGTAATTCAACTGTCTTCGCATATGAATTCAATGTTGTCTATATAAAACGGGCAAGAACGGCGGGGACGGTTGCAAACCAGCTTCGCTGTCAGGACTCTCAGATTTTGAATGTAAACAATAAGCTTTGATCCTGAAACTTAATGGTCACACAAAGATACTTAAAAGCCTGATAGTGCTAAGTACTGGGCAAACCTTAATCCGGAAATTATGATAGACTGGTGGATATGGGAGGCAGAATTTTACAGAAAACCCGTTAGCCAGTCGAGAAGGACAAATGACAGAAAATGTGACTTGGAACATGGAGCAATGGCATCCTACCATACTTGGATACGAGAAAAGTGTGATACTTACTTGGCTCAATGTCTGGTCACGTAATTTTGGCTGCTCTTCTCTTCTTATTTTCACAACTTCATCTAAATCCACGAAACTATCACTTGAACCGTCAACTTAGTATTTAAGTTCAAACTGCAAGCTTTATGCGAACTAGTTGCCAAATCGTTGGGTTTCGCAGCTCCGTTCTCACAATATTTTTATTGTGTAAGTCTAGTGTCCTTGCGCGGTCATTTGTATCAATCACTCGGAAGTAAGACAATAGAGACACAGGCTTCCTGCCTCCCGACAAGGAAGCTCTTCGTCATATGACGTAACTAACTCCATTGGGTGTGTCACACAAACAATAATGAATGTCGTCACGAGGGTAATTATCTACCTCTGATGCAATTCATTTACCAAATGAATGGTACTGGTATTAGATTTGCAAATAGTGGACGGAATTTTGATTAAATAAGTGAAAATTAACTATTTAGATCAAAAACTACAGTGCCATTTGAAAAAGAAGAGGCTCTTTTCCAGGAAAAGGCCCCTGCCCCTTAAAACCCAAGTTGTTAAAAGAATCTAAAAGGGCCCACATATGGCGTAGTTATTGAATTCATCGGTAACAGAGAAATGATTATTTTTGATCAGAGGCAACTAAATTGACATTTTCCCACTACATTATTTTATAAGAGCAATTTTATAAGAATCCCAGCCTCAAAATTGGTCAAAATTAAGAACAACCTGAACACCTTCCTAAAGCGCAATAGCTAGCAGTTGCACTGCTTACACCCTAATAATTTCAAACAAATTAAGAACAATCCAGCCTCAGATTTTTAAAATAATCAAGGAGAGCCAGCCTGAACTTAAATTTACTGGTTCATATAGAAAAGAGTGTACAAACATGTATTGTTAAATTTCACAGCATGTGTGTATGTCCAGTGTATAAAATGGAAAATAAATGCTTTACTAGGCGATGGGGTATTTGAAACACAATTACTTATTGAATTCTGATTTAATGTCTATCAGATAGGCTTTCTGTGATTTTAACAATTTTTATAATACAGCTTTCTCAAGCAAGTGGTTTATTTCCAAAAATCTACTGGACTATGTCGTTATAAATAAATTACACGAAAAGGACACGAGTTCCCAATGCAAACCTATAAAAAAGTAATGCAAGCAAGTTTGACAATCAGAAATCACAAATAACTAAAGATTCGTTGATCTAAAACCTTATTCTTGAATGTCAACTTACTTAATCAAGGCTAGCATTTTTACTCGTTTAATTTTCTCCAGTTTCAAATAAATGGAGCGAGAACAAAACTCCCAGAGCACGATTTAATGATGCTTCATTTTGGTCTTTCAGTTCCCCAACATAACTACCGTAAATCCTCGAATTAGCCCCCTGGGGGCTTATTTATTTTTGATATTTTTTGGATGGGGGCCTATTCGAGGGGGGACTTATAAAATTATTGTAGACATTAAGAAGACAGTTTTAAAAGACCTCGTTTATTTTAGTAGGAATCTCTTTATGAGCATTTAATTAATTACTACCAAAAGTATGAATTCGTTGTGGTCATTCGAAAAAACGCCATAGAGGCATCCTCAGATGGCAACAATCATCAAATGGAGGAGTCCAATTCGAGAATTTACGGTAGCAGTGGGGGCTTATTCGAGGAGGGGGGGGCAAATCCGAGGATTTACGGTAACCAGAACTATATTTTTGTGCAGAAATGTGGCCTACTAGGGACGCAGAGCAGTATAAATTCAAAAAGCCTGGACCATTAACTTCACTCTATGCAAGCCTGCGGACGCCACACCCTATCAGGATTGTCCGGGGGCGTGGTCAGCTCTAAAAGTCTTGGATGAAAAAATGTTAGGCTACGCAAGCTACGCCCCTCAACCTTCTTGGAAACTCGGTATAGACCCGGTTAGGATACAAGCTATAATTTTGAAACACTTCTGTTTCAACTGTTTTGAAAATTCCGTTCGTACCAGAAGGGGTTCGGCGAAGCGTTTTTGAATATGGTAAAATCAAAAGTGAAAATCTCCTTGGTCGGCAACAATGGTACATAACAACTTACGTGCTTTCAGTTTTGTGACAATGAGTTACAAAGTATCAACGGCGATTCGTGACCTTCCTCATAGACGTTGTCACTGGTGTTATTCAATACGACAAAGGTACAGACTGACGAAGGCAAGTTTTCAATTTTTACTAACTAAATCGCTGGCAGTCCAGTCTGTTTTCGTCAACGACACCTTTGGTCATTACAAAAATTAGACTACTTCTTGGCAACAAAGCCAGTCAATAAAATGTTTCATGTTGATGAAAACAACCCCCCCCCTTTTTTTTAATAACCTGACTACAGTAGTAAAACCTGTGGCAGCTGTAGATCTGTAGTGCAATTTTCGTCAAATACGCTCTCCTTTTAGAACCAGTAGATTAAAGTTCCGGCTGGCTGTTCTTAATCTTCCAAAACTATTGAGGCGGGAATGTTTTCACATTATTACATTGTAAGTTGTGCAAACCCCAAACATTGTGTTCAAGGGAAGCGTTTAGGCCCCATTTCCCAAGGAAGTGAGTGAGCCATTCTTTTTTGTCGACAGTTTAAAAATTAATCAACAAGACACCCTTGTATGGAAAAACTCCTCCTTTTACAGATTAAATAATCTTAAAGGTTTTATAATTTGGTTTAAAATTACATTTTACAATACTTCAGCCTCAGCATGTTCTTAATTCATTTATAACTTTTGACCAGTTTTGCGGCTCGTGTTCTTATAACTCGACTGGTTTACCCAGAGATAAATTTAGTTGATTGGAAAAATTGGGTTTTCTCTCCCAGTCTGATTCGGAGACTCTATTGGAAGAGCAACCCTAAATTTTCCATTCAACTAAATTCATTTCTGGGAAAACCAGTCGAGTCTTCGTGCTAGCGAGAACCGGCTCCTGTTCTGAGCCTTTTTAAAGTTCAAAATGCTTCTTAATATGCTTTTCTCAAATTAAGAAATTGTTTACGTTTTTAGAATTGAAGATTCGTATAAAATAAAGTGATTTTTAGTGTAGTTTCCTCATGTATTAAATTAATCAGCTTCTGTCTCAGAGAGAGTAGGGGGCGTGATCCAAAAAAAAATTTCCAGAACCCCAGAGTTTTTCAGGGGCTTCGCCCCTACCGCAAATCCTCCCCAATATTTAGCGGCTGATGCCGCAATTGCTAATGTTCTATAAATATTCCTTGATGTGTGTTATTGCATGTCAGATTTGTGCAATTTCCCCGCCGACCAAATAATCCAAACGTGCCATTTCCGTTAAAATCTGTTCACAAGATGCAAAACCAAACGGAAGCAAATGACTAATGTTTCTTATCAAAGTTAAAAATCAGCATCTCATTGTTTTCAGATTCCCCGTTATACCGTTTTCATTTGAAAATCCACGAAATACTAATTCCGTATTGGGTTTCCGTTTTCATGCAAACGTCTTCCAAGCGGGCAGTACAAAGGCGATTTTGAAAACAGAAACGTGCACATGAAAACTTGTTTCACTATTTTCGAAACACGCACGCGTAAGATGGCCTAGCCGACCTGAAAACTCCGATCCAAAATTTTTGTCTAGTTCTAGCTGTAAGATCAATATATTGAATCAATTCTTTACCGAATTTGCAGAAGTTTTCCATGTAGCTAGCAATCAAAATTAATTTTTCTGTTCAAATATCAGACGTACTTTGCGGCACAAACCGAGGACAATACATTTTAAACTTTAGTGTATTTTGAATATATATATTTTGAATATACTGGAGGACGACTTTAAGCATCTTTTATTTGACAACAATCCGATACTTCGCAATAAACTAAAATAAGTATTTATATAAAAGCCCTTGTAATTCGGTCAAAATAACAGTAATCCGTTGGTTTGGCACACTTGTAATCTTTAACTTCCGAATTTTCAGCATATCTAACAAATTTTGCAAATTTAGGGGTACTTAAAATTGTTCTTTCAGGTTATGTCTTTCAGGTCTTCTAGGTCAAAATTGAAAAATCCTACAAAGAGGTTTTTGATGAGCCACACCTTGGTACTCCATGGTTGAAAATTAAAAAAATTCTATTCAGGTGGTCTTTTCAACTGCCTATAAGAAATTTTACACCGCTTAAAGATGGGTTTATCTTATAGGGGGACTGTAATACTTAAAGGCATAGAGTTCTAAAGTGTGATGTCATCAAAAACCTATTTTTAGAATTTTTGAATTTTAACCACATAGTGTAAAAGATCACTATGAAATACTTTCAAATACGCAAAATTGGCCGAATATGTCTAAAATCGGTTGAGATATGGCTAATAAAAGATTTGAAGTTTGCTAACGAATCACTGTTATTTTGGCTCTGTTCATAAAGTTATGAACCGAGACCAAAATAGAGAGGTTTGATGGGGAGAGAACCAATAAACATGTGGCCATATCTCTGCCATTTCGTAATACACTTGCCTTATTTTGCACATTTAGACGTATTTCATGATGCTCTTTCAGGTTATGGGGTCCAAATTAAAAAATTCTAAAAACAGATTTTTGTGACGTCATCACCTTCTCTATAGGGGGTCATTTTGTTTCGGCGTGATCGCTGCTGTTTCATGTGATATTTGCATCCGTTGTTGACAACTTGCTATTGATGAAAATGGTTTTGTCAATCAGTACGAGGTGAGTTCATGTGACCAGTTCCAGGTCAACCAATAGCATCGCAGTCATGAAAATCATGACTCAGCGGATTTTGGTACTTAGTTATTCATACCCAATCCATTTTATCATGACTCAATGCCTTTAAAGGCATTGAGTCATGGTAAATAGGCTTTCTCTATAGGGGGTCATTTGGTTTCGGCGTGATCGCTGCTGTTTCATGTGATATTGGCATCCGTTGTTGACAACTTGCTATTGATGGAAACTGTTATGTTAATCAGTACAAGGTGAGTTCATGTGACCAGTTCAAGGTCAACCAATAGCATCGCAGTCATGGAAATCATGACTCAGCGGATTTTGGCACTTAGGGTATACCCAGTCTATTTATCATGACTCAATGCCTTAAATAGTGATGTAGAGGGACTGACGCCACACCTTGGTCTAGGTTTGAACGATGAAACCTTCTAGGAGAAACATTAGCAAACGCTGAGTAAGTTATATAGAGCAAATGATTGGTAGATGGACTTTAGTCAATCAAGAAAAAAATCCATTTATCAGCAAAGATTTATATATTTGAATATACATTTCAAAAAATTGGACGACAGAAAAGGTGACAGTTACTGTAAATTTTCATCAAAAGATGAGTCCATCTGTGGCAAAAACTCACCAGCGTTCCGATTTATCATTAAATGTTCAGTTAGATTTAAATGACGTGCAGGTTCTTGTCGACTAGCTCCTAGCATTAGCCGTTGCTCCGCAGGTTTGGGGATATGGAGTGTCATAGAATTTGACTGGAATGACCCCAGTGCACCACGTGGAAACGTTATCTTCAACGGAACAGCGTTTTGCAGATTCAAACTTTGGCTGGAAACAGGAAGTGCGCCCCGCACATGAGCAAAATACGTTAAATGGTCTGGGAAATGGCTTGGTTTTGTTGTTGCTGTTGTGGCTGCTGAGGGAATTGCTGTCTCCTCTTTTTCGGCTGCTCGTTCAGATTGTGATGGCAGCTGACCCGACGACGTCGTACTTTGCGAGTCCGACGGTTCCGCGCTGATTGCCGATTCTGTTGCAGGCGATGACGTCACATTTGGTTTCGACTTTTTGCTGCTCTTTTTGGGCTTTTCGTTCGAGGCTTTACTCGATTTGGGCTTGATCTTTGGGCTTTCGCCTGAATCCCCCTGTTCTTGGCTTTGGCGTTTCTGTGCGACAGAAAATTATAAATCTAGATCTAATACTCCATTTGTGTGCGTTTAGCTGAAATGTTATAACTTCAGTGCTATGTATGGGTATTGCTGTAAGTGTTGTGTATCATGATAAGGAAGCAAACAAAATTGAACCCTTTACGGATACAGCATCAGCAACATGGAGCAAAAGAAGAAAAATCTTGATCTCAGGTTGACGTCATCAATTTAGTATTTCGCTATCTACATACCTTTGTTGAAAATGGACCTCAGCTTCGAAATATTAATGTCAAAGTTAGTCAATGCTGAAAACTTTGTGTCAAATCTTGATCTCAGGTTGACGTCATCTATTTAGTATTTCGCTATCTACATACCTTTGTCGAAAATGGACCTCAGCTTCGAAATATTAATGTCAAAGTTAGTCAATGCTGAAAACTTTGTGTCAAATCTTGATCTCAGGTTGACGTCATCAATTTAGTATTTCGCTATCTACATACCTTTGTCGAAAATGGACCTCAGCTTCGAAATATTAATGTCAAAGTTAGTCAATGCTGAAAACTTTGTGTCAAATCTTGATCTCAGGTTGACGTCATCAATTTAGTATTTCGCTATCTATATACCTTTGTCGAAAATGGACCTCAGCTTCGAAATATTAATGTCAAAGTTAGTCAATGCTGAAAACTTAATGTTATTTTGACTGTTCAGCCTCAAGCTACTTCGTTTGGAATATTTACGTTTTTCTTAAGATTTGACCAGAAATTGCTGCTTCAGTGAAATGTTTAGGAAAAACCAAATTTTGAAAATGGGGTATTTCACTGCCAAACAACATGAAATCTTCGGCACAGCCTAATTTAAACATGAATATTCCAATTCTATGATCTATTTTCAGCAAATGTGAAGATACAAATTGACAACCTGGATCAGAGAAAAGATTTGTGCTATGATGTAACAAAAATGGCGAATTACGCCGTGAGCCCATTAAATGTGAAATGAATACCATTTGTTTGTCATTTCGCAATAGCAAAATAAAGCTGTTTTGGTTTAAAGGTTAGAGGGCAGCTTTAGCTTTACATAGTTTTCAATTACCTCAAACCATGATCATCCTATGGTGTGCACAGTTTTTTGTTATGCAAGAAAATACAATAATTAATAGACATGCTGTCTTTAAAAGGCCATCGTACAGAAGCTATTTGCAATGACCGCGAGAAGCCTTAAAGAACACAAATGCATTTTGTTTATAAACCCGCAAGGAACTTTAGAGAAGAAAAAGCATTTGCTTGTGCTGTGGCATACTCGTGGTAAAGCTGATTTATGTCTGCATTACTTGAGTTACCCTCACCTTGCTGGGGCCTTTCTGTTTTTGATTGAGCTGCTTTTTTGCCATCGCAGCGGCAGCACTGGCTTGGTGAATTCTCTCTGAAGATGTAAAGTTTAAATACTGATGAAATTTTGAAGCTAAGAAGCATTAGTAGTCGAAAATATTCATAAAATGCAAAGTCAAATTTGCAGAAGTTAAGTATCCAAATGTGGGCTGGGGTAAAAATAATTTGGCTAACAAGATAAGGTTTCAAAACCCTTCTTTTATTATCGAGTGTGAATTTTCGGCAGAGTTAATGTATTAAAAGAAAGGTATCAGATACCTCCCAAAAACCAAAGAGGCATACTCAAGTGACTGTTTTTTATAACCTGGATTTAAATGTGGGGCAGGCTTTAAAGATTGGCAAAACTTTTTATGTGGCTCCACATCAATGTAACGCAGCAATTAACGTAGAAGAAGGGTGCTTTTTAACTCTTTTATAATTTCAGCGGGAAGAGAAGGTTCTTTTGTCAAAAAAGCCAATCAGACGACAATTTTTCTGCCACTGGTCGAGCTATTGCCTCTTTTCAATCCGTGGCTGTTTACAGGTGGTAACAATTTTTGGGTTGTGTGTGATTCAGCATTCTATCTAATGAGCATTTGGAGTTGTAGCTGCTGATGTGTTAGCAAAATAGCCCTGTTTCGGACGATCTAGAATCTTTGTTGAAGTGATAAATTAGAAAGCTTGGAGATTCATTCATTAGAGACGTTGCTCTGTTTAACAGAGCATTCGGTTTATTTGATGAGATTTGAAAGTATAATCCCATTTTGCTAGCAGTATATTTAAAGTATCTCACCAAATTCTTCTACAGATCGGATTCTATGAAGATACACCCACAGCTTTCTGGTAATGTCATATTTAACACATGGGTCCTTTTCAGCGTGTAATCTATCTAGCGCCCCACTGACGACTGCATGGATCTACGGATTAAGACGATCAAAGGAATCACAAAAAGATCTTCAAAATATACACAAATCAGGTCTGCTAGCTAAGTCGTCTCTGCCAGAAATAGTCCTAGCACTCATAACGATAGATCGTTCACTATCAAGAATAAATCGTGCTTTATTATTCTTAAAAAGAAAAATTGAAGAACAAGAAAAACAAACGCAGAATCAACCGCAGTCGGTGAGCCTAACTGTATTCACTATGGAAGGCCACTATCATCTTGCCTCTCTGGCTAAAGGGTGACGAAAAATCAAAGTCACCAAAAAAATATAAAAATATTCCATTCCAATCCATTCAGCATGCAAGTGTGTGAAAGAAAGCAAACTGAGGTCCTAAACGCAACAAAAAAGGAACACTATGAGAACCCTTTCCATTTATGATCAATTGCTCGATCAGTTATAATTGCCTGACGTATACGCCTAAAAACATACTTGAGGGATTCTTGAACGCTTAAAAAGGCTCTGAACAAGGAAAATACACCAAATTCATTTTCTAAGGGGTGTACATTGAATAGTACTGAAGTAGACGTGGGACATCATGATTTCAACGTGAGCATGGCATTCTTATTATCTTTAGCAAGTGTAGCTGTATGGACAATCAATGAATATGGGGCGAGAGTGAGGAATGCAGTGCTTTCTGTTCTTTTCCTGGCCAAAACATTCTGCGATTGAGTTATCAGGGGGTACTGACACATTTAAGCGCAACCTGGTTACGTTACTGTTGGCTATCTACACTAGTCCTTGTCCTTGCGTCCCCTGGTCTTTTCTATCTTGACATCATAAAAAGTTTAACCTTAACGCCCTTCTTAACGTCAGGTCATTTTTAAGGATTTTTGAGTGGTTGGGCATTTCTCAAAAGGGCCAACGCTCGCCATCAGGAATTGTCTAGGGTTTATACACCCCGCTTACGCTAAAATCCTGGCTTATTGCAAGGGCTAGATGGGTTGTTTCGCACGTATACGTATCTTGAAAACAACTATTTTGTTAAGATGTGTGACTTTTGACTTACACCTGCACTGCCCTTAAGCAATTGCAGTAGTAGAGCTATTTCACAGAAACATCGTGACAATTGAAAAAAGACAATATTCTGTTTTTACTTGCCGGCATATTTGCACTATTTTTTGTTCCTTTGAAAGGGCCCAACAATCGCAGGAAAGTAGCATTTCACTCGTCAGTGGTGGGGGAAGTCGTAGGGCCTGTTGGGGCAATTCCCCCACCCTGAGTATGTTAAAAAATGCCCTGCCCTGCTTAATATCCCATCTACTCAGATGGATTTTCCATACCAAGTTAGCAGTTTCTAAAAGTCATGTTAAGTTCTTTTTAAACAGTTACAAACGATTCACGTCAGTGTTACAGCCCGTAAACATGGCTATCAACTTATTATTATCATCACATTGTCTCAGAAATAAGATTCCCTAGGCCCTGTTCAATTAACATGATCACATTATTGAGTTCATTTTGTTCCAAAAAGCCAATTAGTTTTGGGAAAACAACCACAAGATATAACGTAAATGGTTGTTTTGTATCTTTCACCAGAGATCACGTCATTCCTTCTTGAACTTGTAAGATCGAATTCAGATACAACGTTCGCATGGTAGCCACGTTAAACCTCAATGACGTGCAAATTTATTCCTTACTTTGCTTTGCTCAAACAAACAAAAAATCTAATGCTTCTGCAAATGAACTCTGACCTGGTTTTTATTGTTAACTTAGGGAGATTACATTAGTTTCGATACTTTGGTTTCGCAAAGAATTTAAGCAAATAATTAAAACACATGCTTAGGTGAATACATTGAAAGACTCTCGTCGTGTTGCAATTTGAAATTTGTGTTCCAATTATTTGTGTTCCTTTGCTCTAGTAAGAAATGCGGTGGTAGATCATGGTGCTGGTACGAATCCATTACAGTGGCACTAACATGGAGCTATTGCAATCGCATTGGCATTACAGTCGCCGTGGCACAAAACCGATACCATGGCATTTACAAGAATCCATTACAATCGCTTTGGCACAAAGTAATTACAATCGCTTTGGCACGACGCTATTATAGATTTCAATCGCATATGCACCGCATGTGCACTCGCAAAATTTTGTCCTACCTGTGCATCTGTAGCCTCTGGATTGATGTAGGCGGAATCTTTCAGCAGCTGGCATACCTACGGGAAGAGAAAGGACATCACGGAGAGACTGAAGAATTTTACAATTGTATTGCATTGTATGATAATATAAATATTATAAAAAGATCCATCGTAAAGTATCTTTTTTCATGAATAGCTGACTACGAACAGTCTTTCATTAGACATCATTGTGTAAAATGTTTTGTTCATGATGCTACTAAAGGTTCAAATACTGCAAAAGTACGTACCTGAAGAGCATACATATAAGCAAAATTCGCGAAGGTTTTTAAGAAGATGCGATAAAAGGTTCTGTGAAACAAACAGAGCTCCTCGTAAATAAGCTGAAGAAACATTTCATGTATTGTACCCATTTCTGAAAATACAGCTGACTTCAATACAAATATGATTTTCTAGGTAAAAGATATTGGTTCAGCCAGAAATGTCTCCCCCATAAGAATGTTTTTGCAAACAATTTTATGCCATATTAACTAGTGTAATAAAGCCCTGACAGACCTCAGCTCTAGTCCCTTCACCGTTCGGTAACCTGGCAACAGCATCGCGAACAAGAGACAAAATTGTGACGTAAGCAGGACGATTTGAAATGAGAAGTGCATGTTCTCTGGCTTTGCTCGTGCCGGTATCTTTATTAAAAACACCCTAGTAAAGTAGAGATATGTGTTAATTGACTTTAGATTTAGCTACATCTAAAGTAAAATGGTCCTATTCTTTTAATGGCACTGCAATAGGTGTCTTCGATTGAGACCAACAATATTTGATGCGACTAGTTCTTTTCTCCAAGGTATGAAAACTTAAAACAGATTGAATTTTATAAATTATATTCTTCATACAGCAAAAAATTAAGCATAATTGTAGATTAATTTAAACATTCTTGAAAAAAGACGACGTTTGGAAATTCTAAGTAAAATAAGATAATTTAAGTCTGGTTTACTAGCACAGAATTTTGATTGCTTATCTTTGTTTAATGAACATGTTTCTTCGGTCTACACAGACAAACATTTAAGATTAGTTTGAGAAGAAATCTCAAGTCTACTGATGCTTATTATTAATCGAACATTCATGCAACAAAATTATCAAACACCATTTTTACACCTTGGTAGTTATCTTCTTTCATGAATTTTCTTTCATGAACATCCACTGTAATCGTTTTTGTCACCAGAAACACAAACGGACATACTGTGTCACTTAACCGAAGCGAAATTTTACCTTAACAGGTCCAACGATTGAAGAAAAGCCATGCATTTTGTAAATGAATGGCTTGTGAGGATTTTCATAACGCTTCCTTTCCTGCAGAGAAAAGGATAATATCATCAGAAATTAGATTAGAGATCAAAGAGAAGGTGGTCATCTAAATGACGTAAAAGCAAACAGAAGATCTGATTGGTGAATCAAGTGGGTATTGCGTATTAAAAACTACCCACAAAGGGTCACGGGGAAATGCCACAATTATAGAATTTATCATACCATTTCTGGTTGCCCAAGCCTTTTTGGTTAGCAAGCAATCCTGAACCAAGTGCTAATTGAAAAAGGGCTAATCAACCACACACGGGAAACGAGACACTACCAGTGATAATATCATTCCTACAAGAAACCTTTTCTTCGTCGGAGGCAGTAATTAATTTTGTGGGAGAAATGCAAGGTTCGTTGTTTCAGGGTTTTAATGTATTGAAAGAGGTAGTTTATGTGTTTTCAGGAAGGTCTGCCTTTACACAAAACGATGTATTTGCCAACAAAAATGAGCAGTTAATTTCTATTTACTTTTGAAGGTTTGTCCACCGTCAGTCAACACTAAGAATTTAAAAGTCTTCGGTACAAAGGTAATTTAAGATGGTGATGATAAATTGAAACAAGGGCAAACAGACCTGCAGCTGAAAAGCCAGCTTTTCCTGATCTGTACTAGGTCGAACAACGAAATCGGTCCTGTAACAAAATGATTAAAAAACTAAATGAATGTGTGAAAATGCAAATTTGTAAATACAGAAACGTGAGAATGAGACCTTTAGACGGTAAACCTGGAGACGTTCAAAGATGCTTTAATGCTTTTTGTATGATAGCCTTTTAGAAAACGTAATACAAAAATTCTATGACAAATGCTGCTCTAAAACCATCAAGTCAGACATCCAAATACATAATCAGGCGGATTCGTTATAAGAAATTGGCCTAATTAGCTCTTAATTTGGCCAATTTTTGAACAGCTGAACTGCAATTTATTTGCCGTGATTAGCATCAGTAATACAAGTTTTTTTTAATAAGAACAATCTTCGCGCGAAACGCCATCAAATACAGTTACCTTGTTTTCTAACGGCAATAATGGCACTGTACGCACTCTTACATAACAATTAATCTACAAAGATTGTGGGTCAAAGCCATAACTAATTTAGAGATAATGATTATCTAAATCTCCTAATCCATTTTTTGTTAGGGTTTTGCGTAAGAGATACAATAATCTACAATCTGCCACAAGAAATAATTGCATCAAGTGGAATAATTGAAAACAGCTAAACATGAACGAGACTGAAATAAGGGGTTGCTAGTGTACTTTGTATTTCTTCAGTTCTGCATAAAAATTAAAATATATTTCAAATCACATTACTCAAGCATCATTCTGATACACAATGTCCTTGAATCATGATATAAGATGCAATACCCCATTCATAAAACAAAGTAGTTGCTAAATAAGCATTAAGTCGGGCTTGCACTGCTATTTGATAGCAGTAAGCGATTCTCATAATTGCCTTTGGTTAGCTTTACATCAAGGATAATAATTGATTTAGAGGTTTAAAGCATTTTCTGAGCCCATCTTGTCAAATCACTCTACAATCAAGTTGCAGTATCTGGTTACGTCCCTGCCTTCTTTACATCTTTATATCTTTTACTGTACCCATTTAGCTCATATTATTACAAATACTTGTCAGTTTCCTGTTAGACTCAAATAATATATTGGAACCTTAAAAATTGCATATGCTGGGAATGCCTTAGCAATTGCATATGTAGAGGTTACGAGAGAAAGTGGTCTGATTTCGACTGACAAAGTTCAAGTTACATCAAAACTTCTGGATTTCGATTAAAGCCCTACCCATTACTCAGAAGACTAAGTCAGAAGACAATGACCTCACGCCCTTCAAGTATGTTTTCTGTTCTGCAAGCCAATTTTACTGTGACTCACTATGAAAAAATTTAATGAGCCCTCAAACAATTCTTTCACGTACGTTTTGGCATTATGGAAGTTATAAGAAAGTTTGGTAAACAAAACTACTTACTTTTGTTGGCCAATGCTTGTATTTGGGCTAAGAATTTCTTGTTGATCAAACGAAAGTTGCTCACTCTGTTAAATTGAATAACAGATAAAGAAATATTGTGCGTACATGTAAATACTCGAAGTTTATAATATTTAGATGAGGTCGTACAAATGTTTGCTTGGCTGCGTGGGTGGTTTGAAAGGCTTCAAATCACCCCAAAAATAATTCCGCTTATAGTTTTATGGAACTTGCAACACCCATATGATGACATTCTCCTTAACTTTAAACACAGATTGGAAAAGGAACTGAATGAGAACATGGTACCGAGTCAATTTTCCAGTAAGGTTTCATTGGTCGTAAAATGGACAGTAGAAAATATTCCAATCGTGGATTCCATATGATTTTCGCCTATTCCTTGAATTCACTTAAACATTATAAATAGACTTTTAAGAAAACTTAAACAGCGCTTTAATGTAGAAATTAAAGCTCTTGTATAAGAAAAATTCAGGACCGGATCCTTTTCGCATCTATGTATCCTACTACTTATCGGAGTTGCAACTTCGAACCGTCTGTTTACATCCACCAAAGCGTGCATAACCCTCCCTATACCGCATTAAGCACTATATGAAAGACCGGTAAAACAGCACCATTCATCAAAATACTGTAATATAATATAGCCTGCAGGGTACACCAGTTTTCTGATGACACCCATAGCACTCTTCCAAAGAAAGCCCATTAACCCACTATAAATCGAGAAGTCGTACTACGAGCGAGTGTTGAACATAAAAGCTTCTATAGAATTTATAAATAATCTGCTGTATTTCTTTGTTTTCCCAAAAACACAAATACACTATTTGGTCTGCAATCGCACTTTCTGGCACTCCATACAATAAAATGCTAATAACCAATGTTGATTTTGAAATTTGAGCCTTCAACACGACTCGAATAGGCCAATCAACACGTAATTTATACAGACAGCATTAGGCAAAAGGCTGGGTGATATAATCCATAAGCTCTAAGCCCGCTTGTAAAATACGAGCTAAGAAAGTTTTTGACATGAGCATTGCTACGATTTGATACCAAAGGAAGGGTCGCTAACTACAGACCCAAGGGTCCGTGGTTCGAGCCCCTGACATGACCAAACCTTCATTCAAAGCGAGGCGAGTCATCAGCTCTCTATAGTTCCAGGCGTAGGAATCACGTAGTGTGGTCACATAGGACGGAAAAACCTGGACACTGCTAAAAGGGCACAGCTTTTAAGTGTCCTGAAACTAGCTTCAGATGTTAGGTCGCAAAACAATACAAAATAAAAAGGTTGAAAAAAACTTTTGTAAGAGCTTGTAAGAGTATATCAAAGACCCTTTATTTTAAGGGTCTTTGATAGGACTGAGCTTTTCGTAAGGTAGAGGTATAATTTTAAATCCTTTAAGGGCTAGTATAATTTTAATTCGATTTTGTTCAGCTCTTGCGCGATTTATTTACCTCATCCTGCTGTAGAGAATCAAGCCAATATCTGCAAATCTGTGTCAATGTATTATCATCATCATGACTTATCCCTGAAAGGCAATGAATTGAACTATAATAGAGAAAGAACTTAACAAAATTAGGAACTTGAAAGGGATTTAAGTGCGTTTCGGTAAAGAAGAAACTCCAGTTTCCATAATGCTTATGCTTAGGTCAAACTATAGAATTTTCTCCTTCTAGGCAATATGTCTTCTTCGTTTACGACAATTAAGACGTTTATGACTTTTAACGTCATTGTTTTCGTCCTTTGGTTCTTCAAATGTCTCTTCTCCACCCTGATCGAAGTGTCTGTTTTATACCTGCTGTTGATAAGCACAAAGTTTTCTGATGGTTGAAAAGCTTCCGTTACAGACAGCATAGGCAATGCTTATTACGAATATCACCACTGTGATATGTTTCAATTTACTATTTCAGTTGCTATAATTTCTCCAAAACGTCCCTAATATTCAAAATTTCATAACCTCTTCAGACAATACTTTGCAATCATTTTCTTATTCTTTATCTGCTGATGATTCTCTTAACAAGAAACATAACCCATTGATATCTAAAGCAGCCATCACCTTCATATAATATGCTTAGCTGCCTTATCTCTATAAAGCCAATTAAAATTCTATTTTTTTATAATAAAGCTAGATTGAGATGAGAATATCTATACGAGTGATTCTGACTATGTATGTCCTAATTATTTGGCTATGTCGTTTCAACTTTCTATTGGAATAACTTTCTCAATACAAGTTAGATCTTCTTCAAATATCATCATCATATTTCCAGTTATATAAAAGATGAATAGATTCTGTTCACTGATCATATCATAGAAAACCTTTGCTATTTAACTTAAGCCAACTGTTTGCAATTGATAAGCGTTGATATAAATGTTATGCGGTGATGCTTTGTTTATCAGTTAGACAGCCTTTGTGCCAATTTTCGCAAAAAACATGCGAAGAAAATGGAAAGAAAGTAGGAAAAATGATTGTAAAAAAAATACGAAAGTAATCTCACTCGAATACAATACATTATCTAATTGGGAAGACAAGAACTTCGAATCTTTTTCATAAAAATAATTCTGAAAAAGAGATATTATAGATTTATTTTTACCTGTCCACTTCCATGTGTTGGTCTCCTGAATAAACGTAACAAGAGGCACAAAGTCTAGGGACAAACCAGCTACAAACAAAAATAACAAGATGCTTAGAAGAAATGGAAATTTCTAGAATGCGTTTAAAGCTCTGTGAAACATTTTGCCAGTTACAAAGGAAAGAATAAGAAGGAAAAACTAACACTGAAAGAAAGAACGAGCGAATGGAGACGGAAAGGCTAAATTTTTTGTAGATCAAAATGTTATAGACGTTATGTTGTAGATCAAAATGCTGTTGATTTTAGCACATCAAGGTGCATGCTTGAGATAGGACAAACATTACTAAACAACAAACATACAAACAAGTGACAATAAATAAATAGACAAACAATTGGTAATGAAATGACTGCTTGTAACAAGACATTCTGTTACATATGCCTTTAAGTACAGCTCAAATCCTATTCAAACTTAATGAAATTTGACCAAGATTGAAATGTCTCCATCGAAATTTGACAATTGAAATATGGGTTGACAAAGAAAGAGTCTCGTACGGTTATATTTTAGCCAGCAAATTCTTTGTAAACATCACAGGTCGACCTAGTTTAGTTATTATTCAAAACTTTTAAACGCAGATTTCTCATAATGTAACCATTCAACCTTCTATTCTTATAAGCAAATATGTTTTGCGTGAGACCTACCATTATTACTTCCAGCAAGAAAGTTCAGCGATGAAAGAACCAGGCCAGGCCATGAAGAGCTTTCTCCTATCCAAGAAACATCCGCAGCTTCATCGGAATTCTGTAAAAATGATTCAAACTAACGTAGTCAAACAGAGAAAGGGCTTAATTCACATCGACGATTTTCAATTAATTCTAAAATATCCAGTTGCATCCAAAATGATAATTTAATAACAGCTTCTTGAGAAAAAGTTGATTACGAGACTTAATCGCATTCAACATTTAAAGCTCGGTAATTCAAATTTTTCTGTCTACTCTTAAAATATAGGAATATTTTAGAAAAACATTTTCTTGCTCGTACTAAAATTTTTTTCAAGCTAATTTTTAGATGTTTATTACATATATTGTGTAAGAAGCAATGAGAAAATACAATATCAGAAGCTCTTTATTTCTTAGACCGGAACAGCTGTCTACGTCACTGCATTACCACCATCCCATTTGCTTCTTGTCTCTGGAAGCAAGGTTGGTACTCCGCAATCACGCTTGTAATCATTTTTATAAATAAATTAATGACCATTTAATTTAGTAAACTTTAGTGAAACCTCACGGAATATCAATCGAAAGAAATCGGAAGAAATTTTACGAAATATCTCGGCTGCATCTGCTTAAACCTTTGAAAATAATGAAAATTAAAAGGTAAACGGTCAGGACAAGTTTGATTGCAAATTGACTGGGACCTATTCCTTGTCATTCTACTAAAAATTGTGTATATTTCAAAAGGAGCCAAATTCTCACCAAACAGAGCAGTTTAATCGAAAATCATTCACTTACACAGGTGAACTCTTTTTCTATTTAATTAAACATTCCTTAATTAAAAAGGCCTAAGATTTAGAGTGGATAAAATTAAGAGTTAGTTCAAGTACGTTCAATTAACGCCATCATGAAGGAGTTCATCACCATACAACTAAAGCTGCATTAGAAGAAACGCTCTTAACTTGATTAATTTATAACTTCAAAAAAACAATGTTTTCTGAATAAAAGTTCCTAATGTTTTGATAAAATTCCAAGAAGACTCACCTCCCAGGCAGCAATTTCTTGTTGAAGCTAAAAAACATTTTAAAAAATCAATAATTTTCAGTGTAGACAACGCTTAATAATCGAAATCCGCAGTTTTTGATCGCACGTCAAGGTTGCTCAATGAAAAACACATTTGTCATTTTCATTTGATCTTATCTATCAACGATATTAATTTAGTATTAATCCTAGTTAAGAATATATTTATAAAATGTAGGATAAATAAAAAATATGAAAAAATTAACAACTTTAAAACCAATACTGTTCTTTCATGGATTTGTCTACAAAAAGTTTCATTTTCTCAGCTTAAAACATGATTTCTCAGCTTAAAACATGATTTCTTAGCCCATTCTTAAACTGGGTGAGTGTGTCTGATCCTCTAATGTATTTCGGAATATCATTCAATGTCACCAGACCAGTGTTATTAAAACTCTGTCAGACCAGTGTAATTAAAAGATAAAATTATGATTCATCAGTTCTGGGTTGCTACAATACATCGATTAAAGTAATGTTTGCTTCCAACATTTTCTGATGTGCAGCTAGATTCCTTCACAGAGTAATTAAAATTGTCAAGGGAGCGCCCCTTCATTTTCCAAAAGCAAAGAAAATAAGTGCTATTAACACCCTAGACCCAAAGCTAGCCTTTGGAGTTGATTCCTGAATAGGCGATAAGTGGGCTCGACTGCATGGCCTTACGCGTAGGAGGCGAGAAAACAAGCCATCGCAACATTTTAAGTAACGAAAGGTTTTTGATACACAAATCATTTCTTTGATTTTTACTCCTGTTTAGATATGAGTGGGGTTTTTAGACGAATAATATTTTGATTCAATTTCAGCAAATTAGTATTAAAGGCCAGCTTTAGAACTTTTTCCCAAAGGTAATTGAAAAAATAACCGTATAATGAGTCACAGCCATATAAGTAAACTTAAACATAGGAAATTATCCGTTAGCATTCAAAAACTTGAAGGTCCAGAAAGCTTGCAAGGATTCAGATTATAGTTGTATAGGGATTAATGTTTATAAAGTTTGGTTGCCAAAGGACGATAATCAAGTTGAAAAAAACGGGAAATATAGCTACAATTCACGTAAATAGATATTTGAAACCCGGAACTTGATGGTTATGGCTAAACTCAAAGGGGGAATTGAGCATTTGAATTAACACCTGATCAAACCGATTTGAAAGGCCCATTGGCTCCTACCACACCTAATCCGTCAAACTCCAATTACTTCCGTTATCTTATTCAGTTTCTCAAATATCCTTGAACTATATATTAAGGAAAAACTTAGAATTTTTGGTTGCTAATGAATGGGCACAACAAAGAGGAAATTTGTGACCTGCTAAAGGTACTATGCCAATCAGCTTGAAATTACAAAGGTACTTGAGCCTGTAAGAACTTTTTTCATTCATAAAAGGAGATTAATTTCTTTACAACAAGGTCTTATTCTAAACCATGAATAATATTGGAAACTAGAAGAGTAGCGGAAAGTGTGGCAAAAATCCTTGGATTTTGATTTACTTCAGGGACTTCAAACACCAGTATTAGATGAACCTCGTGAGAAAGACGCATCGCATCCATATGCCATTACACTGAAGAGTACATCTTGTTGACTATAGTTTTTGACTTAGACAATATCAAAATAATGTATTTCTAGAATAGAGTTTCAACTTCGCATGATGTTGCGTACGACTATCTTACAAATGATTAGATGCAATTATAGATCGCAAGCTTCTGATTAAAGCCAATAGTATATTTGGAAAATTCTGCAAAAATGTCATTTATTGAGAGCCACATGAAAGTTAAAATTCTGGCACGAAACGTAAGAAATACATAGGTAAACATCTTCCTAACGATATTGAATGTATGCAACTGATTGGCAACTGAGCCATCTATATTGAAAAAAGCCCTTTGAATGAATAGTAGCAAAACGTTACTTAAAACTACACCCAAACTGTGCGTTGACCATCCGGCTAAGTATTGCTTTGCCTTCAATCATCGGTTGATCGGTAAAGGCGTGTTGTTTGGGGGTGGTGGGCACTGACACTGCTTTATCTGTCCTTGTCAGTGCCAGTCTTATTGTCAGTAAAAAGACCAAATTGTTAACCCAACTAAAGGGATGCTCTCCTCGATTAGCAACCTAGTTGGAGAGCTACAAACCTATAAGAATATAGTCTATAAAAATAATAAGGCTCAAAATCGCTGAAATTCAAGTATAATTCAAGAATAAAGCAAGGCTCAAGCTTCATTAAGAATTATGTTTCTTACTTATTTCACGTCTAAATGTCTTGAAATAGACATACCCGGCCTTAAAGTTATTAATACTAGAATGCGACTCAGTTACATCTAGTGTCGTTTAAGAACAATTTGGGAATAATCTTAGGCTTATAATCTGGTATTCTTATAAAAATGTGTATTGCTTGAAGAAATGCCCTGTAAACAACCTTAAATGTTTTACTAGGTTAAATCTATATGTTGCATTGATATTGCATAATATATTGCATAATATCATCATACTGTGATATTTTATAATATTGTGGTGGTGCAGTATTTTGGGGCCTGGACTGTAATTGACCTGAATCATATTGTTGGAGTTGTGACCTTGGTTAATGCAAATCCTAACTATCCCTAAACTCTCCATAAAGCCTCTTTTGAAATCATAGAAACCGAAGCTAAGTCTAGTGAAATCTGTTGTTTGTACTTCAGTGAGAGCCTCATATTGCGGAAACTTTAAGATCAGAGCAGATGTCCATTGAAAGGAAGTTTCAGTTCTAGAGATTTCTTGTACCGTCCATGGACACCAAGAAGGAACAAAACTGTTTGTCCATTGTTTTGAGGTGACCGTTATTGGGAGATGCCCGTAAACCGCAGTTTCATGATACATGTACCTCAAGATGATAAAAAGGTTTAGAAACCATAGCACTGATACCCTTTAACCTTATGAAACCATTCCAAAATGACTGTGTAAAAGACGTAGTGGAAATGATTCTTTAAGACCTATTTCAATTAGATTTTCTGCTTTTTGCTTTGCTTTCTTCTGTTTGTTATTCTTTGTTCTGAAATGCAGCTTTTTAGCATCTTGTATTTATGAAACAAATAGTACGAAAATCAGCGAGATAGTCAAGTACTTTTCCGGGATAAATTTCGAATAAAAAAAGCGGGTAGGTTCTGTCATGAGGTTGTTCTCGTTCCATCTGTCTCGTGTTTCGATGACGCACGTAGTATATATTTGCCCGGTCTGTTCGCATATATTTGAACATTAAAGTCATCTTGCCGCCGGCTCTAGATCAACCACATGTGTATCTTTTATCAAATTTGTAATATGAGAAAAATGTTGTCTTAGAATCTTAGAATCTGTGTTTTAGAATCTGATGGCTTCACGTGCAAATGAAGAGAAGCCAAAGAAGACCCCTATAAAGCTTGCCTGAAAAGATCCTATTGCTTTGTTACATTAGTCAACACTACATAAGTTTAACCCACCTCGAGTGCAGAGCACTGCAAATCTTCGCGCTCTAAAAAGAATCCTCTAATTAAAGTAAAGAAGCATTGTTCTCCTTGATCCTCATCATTCTCACTCGAAGTGCTGTGAAAAAGAATAACTTCAGCATATAATTTTATAATATTTTATCATAATGTTTTTTACGGACATTCAACCTTTCTATCTTAGCAATCATACTTATAAGCTGTTCTTCTCAGCTTTCCAACCATTTCTTAACTATATCAATGTATTATCATAAAGACCTAAAGTTTCTATAATTTTTATTACTCCTACAACTTTGATTATACATAGCTTTCAGTAGTGATTTTTAAAAACAATATAAAATTTTACAAATAAAAGAAAAAGAGTTGAAACAAGAAAACTGACATTTTCATTAGAATTTTTAAAATTTTCAAAATAAAAACAAAAGTACAACGTTTTTGGCGAATTATTTGACCGCAATTCTGAAAATTATTGAAATCTGTATTGAACAACCATACGATTTGTATGACTTACTGAACACCATATAAACCTGAATTTTAGCAAAACCTACGGCAGCCACCTCGGACCCAGGTGTATAACAAAAATAGACATAGCAATCTTGGACACTGCTGTTAAGACAGCCCCCTCTCCCCATTAAAGATGAAATGTAGTCCCTTTAATAGCAGAGACATCGCCGAGTTGGGAGATGGGATGAAAAACCATTATCTAATTACCATTCTAAACAAGTATGGAGCTTTTAAGGACACGGGGGTCTTTCTTGACCAGACTGCACTAAATGCTTTTAAAAGCAATCGAGAGATACAAAAGTTGCTTAATCGATCTACCAATCAATATTAGCCAATCAAGAAGTGCGTGAGTGGAATCACATTTACTGATTGGTCAATTCTTGATTGACATCCTACGTATCTGTCGATTGCCTTTGAGCAAAACTTACTCATGAGGGTCCTCTGTCTTAATATCTCGTGTGATCCTATCTTTATCAGGACCTCCTTGCTTTGACGATAGCTGTTTGATTCTTATGATCTCCTTTTCACTCAGAGGAGGCAGTTGTGATCTGTATCGTTTTTTCATTTTCACCTTTTCGTCGCGATTCTTTCTCAGTTTCTTAACTTTCTTAGACTTTTTAACACCTGCAAAAACCAAGAAATCTTCGTAGTAACTTCTGGAGCAAAGACACTATCTGTTGTTGAAAGTCTTATTTTGTTAACAAAAATCAAAAATTGAAACATGTCCACGTTATCCAAGCAACTAATTAGCGTTGCGAAATATCCTTCTATATTGGCTCTGAATTATATGGTATTATGTAGTATTATATAATTTTGTCTGCCGATAACCTGAAAAAATAAAATTCAAACACATTCATAAAAAATTCTTCGTTGCTCTACATAACATTATGATTTCATTTAATTATTTGAAAGTTAAAAGCAATACTCAATAAAACTATGCATCAAATAATTTTCCAGTTGACAAAATTTAACAGGTTGTCAAAAACTAAAGCCCTAACAAGGGGTACACAAATGTCTCAAGATTGGAAAATTGGACACCTGAAATTGCGAGAGAGACAAAGAACAAAGAACAAAGAAGAAAGCGGTACCTTTCTTTGCTGGGTTTGCTCTCATAATTATATCTGCTAGACTTATTGCTGACACATCAAGTTCTGGGTGAGTCTGAAAAACATTATTGGAGATTACAGGCGCAAACACAAACTCAAGTCAATAAAATTTACATTCCATAGACCCTTTAAAGGCAATCTGTCACGACGTTGATTGGTTATAAGAACAAAGGGATTATTTATTGCTTCCAGTCCCTCTTTAATTTATCGCATTGTAAAAATATGGCGGAGCGCTGGAATTGTGTTTAGGCTATTGTTCCAGCTATTGTTCTCGTTAACCAATCCACAACGAGACAGATTGCCTTTAAAGACGTAGAAAAAAATGAAAAGGAAGAAAATAAATCAGTTTCAAAAAATCCAAGTCAGATTTTGCATTTTAATGCAGTTCAGATTTTTTAATGAATTTTCATTAAGCGAATTCGGTAGTGATTAAGCGACATGGCTCTGATAAAGCGACATCAAGAACACCAGTGATTTGATAGATTGACTGATTTATTCATAATGAAGTCCCCATAATAGACACCTTTTATGATAAGAATCAGAATTATCATCCATTGCACGGTTGTGTCTGAAGGTTACTGGTACAAAGCTTCAAAGAATTTGTTTTCCAAGACATTCCAAGTAACTGAGAGGTTTGTTATTAAACTTGAGACTTTTGCACTGGAAAAGTAATTTTAACCATAGTTAACAAACCTCGCTACAAAGTCTTCGTTTTCGATGCCTGTCAAGCATCGATCTATAGATTTCTTCAGGTATTTCAGTTCCCGTATTTGGCAAACGGTACGGTGGAAACCCGTACGCAGGATTTGGTGGAGAAAACATCCTCGGTCGCATTGGAGAATTGAATAAATGGTGTGGAAACTGATTTTCATTAGGGTAAAAAGGCATGTCTAGAACGAAGAGGTAACATAAAAATAAGTTCTACATATGTTTGTGCAACTTTTTCCTTTAGTTTACAGCTAGATAGGCCTGTCGATCGCCAGTACGGGACTCAAAGTAGACAACCGAGATGATGCATCTAATGACGTCATCGTTACTTTTGATGAAAAGACTGACATTTAATGGCGGACCTGTAACACCCCCCCCCCCTCAAACACACACATACACATACACACACCTATAATACAATTGCAATCTTTTGAAATGTTAACCAAATATTCTATGCCATATTTGAATTTCAGGGGACTAAGGCTCATTTCTGGTTTTCTGGGTATCCAAAAGACGATGCTAATCTTCAAGTGTTACTAGATACAAATTGTACGACTTTTTCTGAAAAACACGATCAAATTATTGGCTAGCGGAAGGCGTGAACAAAAAGTCAACCCAAAGAAATGTTTTTTAATGAAGCAAAAAAGGCTCGAAAGATTCTTTGTCCTTCAATTAAAGTCAAAGGCTCCTTTGTCCGGTAAAAATATGGACTACGGGTTGCAAACCTGTTATTTCTTAATATCAAAATAACCATTGACAGTGGCCTTATGAAGAAATGAGATAAAAAATAAAGTCTTGTAGACAAGGCATCGCAAAATAAAAATGCAGTGATAGATAGTTACATGAAAATTTAGTGCAGCTGTAAACAGGAGCTTTAAGATAAAGCTAATCTTTTTTTAAAAAGTGGCAAGAACATTACTTACGTTCATATTTCCGTGCATCAAATTCCTCTTCATCAGAAGAAATAGTGTCATCCTACAATAAAAATCAAATAACAAAAAAGTTTATCAAAAATTTCATAACTGTATCGTTGAGAAGAAAATGTTCGAATGCATAAAGTTATATTTGCCTCCAATCGTATAACTAAAACTGGTGGTTTTTCAAGTAGTTACAAACAGCATTATGATTGAAATTTCATATTCAATAAATAAACTATATAGAAACAATACTAGTCAGTAACAAATTAGAAACAGTACTACTCAAAGCACAATTTCAATACCCTTACTACTGACATTCATACAGACAAAATTAGAGATAGCGTTTGGGAGAAGGGAGTGACCGTTATAACAACCATACATGGACACTTGGGGGGCTTTGGTAAGAGAGTAGCATACACAGATAATAATCTGATGGTGTATAGAAATTGCTTTCAGTGACAGGTTAAGCATGTTCTTGGTAATAAAATAAAAGATAAACTTAAGTCAATGCCTTGCAAAAAACAAACAATGAATAATATTATCGTTATAAATATAAGAATAGTTATAGCCAATCATAACGGGTTATCGTAGAGTCGTTGTTCATGCCCCTCTTCCCCCCCCCCCCCCCACCAAAAAAACATCTTATTTGCTAAATGACATACATTACATTCAGTCTTTACGTCCTTCAAAACCCTGCAAAGCAAATGCAAAGATGGAGTAAAAATTTTCAGCATAATGTTGCGTGTATATATATATATATATATATCTATAAATACATCTCCTGAAGAGTGAGTTACTCACGAAACAGGCTTGTAGAGATAAACCATGTAGTTTTACTTTCTTCAATCTATGATATATCACGCTCTACGTGCTAACGTATTGAGCACTGTGCTACGGAAGTATCAAAAGACAAATTTCTATATCTATAAATATATCTATTAATATATATATGTAGAGGTTAATAACAGCTTGCGACATTATAAGAAATGATAGTGTATATAGTGTGGCAAACCTGCTCGCCACACTTATAAAACTTTGAACGTGTTGTTATCATGAGGTTTGGAGAAAAAAACGAGAAATGTTACAAAAGAACTTACTTTTGAAGTTTTTTGTGAACTCGCTCATCTATTGTTGCAGAGGTGTCAATTGGCTCAGGCCTACGACAATATGAGAGAAAGATAAAAAAAAGAAACAATTTAGAAATAATAAACTTAATTTCTGCTCTTTAACAAAAAAATTTGAACGCAATACCATAAGATTATCATACTGGGTATGTAAAGTTTATAAAATAAGCACAAATATCATATAATCATAAAGTACTTAATTTAATCAAAATATCAGAACAGTTTCCTAATGATTGCGTTAAACGTGAAACTCGGAGTAGCAACTTAGAACCTTCCTGTTCTATGCACCAATAGCATTAAGCGTGAAACTCGGAGTAGCAACTTAGAACCTTCCTATTCTATGCACCAATAGCATTAAGCGTAAAACTCAGAGTAGCAACTTAGAACCTATCTGTTCTATACACCAAATAGCGTGTACAGCTCTGCCTACGGCATCGAGCACTCACTGACAGACAAGTAACAGTAAACAGTAACTTTCATTAATCAAAATGTCAAATCAATAAAACGACAGAAAACACCGTATAAAAACAAAAATGCTTTATGTGGCAGTAGTATTCGAAGACTCTTTTGGGAAATAATCTGTGACAACAACATCATAGGAGGTTAAACAGGGTGTTGAAGAATAAAACGTCACGAACAAATACTCTTGCCGAGTATCAGAAAAAAATTTTACTGCATGACACTTCTATTAATTTAAGAATACCATGTGCTTTTTTCATCACCAATGTTTCCAAAGATATTTCAAGATAGTCAATGAACTAGAGACAAAGCATCATTTATCGGAATGTAGCAAATAAGCATAAAGATTAACATCAAAAGAACTATATCAACAAATAAAAGACTAAGATTAAACCTTGTTGTCTGAATTGGCTGTCCTGGTCCATGTCTTGCAAGCTGGTCCAATATTCTCTGCAAGTGGCGAAAGTTACACAAAATACTTATACTAAGTTAATGAAAATAACAGCAAAGTACCAAAAGTAATAATCCATCAACAAGAAAAGTTAAAAAAACTTGAAACATTCGGAATTAAATTCGATGGAGAATATTCTTAAAGTTATACCTGTCTTGAAACAAGAACATCCTTTAAGAGCTTGCGATATCTTTGTTTTTCCCTGAGCTGAAATAATACTAGAATGCTGGGAAACGATTCTTGAAACATTTTAAAAAATTACTGATTAGAACAAGAGTGCACCAAAAGAGCAAAAAGGGCTTTTATAAGAAGTCATTACATTTTCAAATGAAACTATCGATTTTCGGAGCAATAACTGCTTTCTTTTTTAATTTCTAGAGACCTGCTATCCACATTGTGATTTACATGTGATTTGAAGGTGAAACCTTTTCTTTGAAACATATATTCTTGATCAAAATGAATCAAATTATGCTGTTAAGTACACTGATTTACTAACCTTGTAATCTTTATACTTGAGTGATCTGCATTTCTTTAACTTTCTCGCGATGCTTGGAGAGCAGCGACCGGCTGAAGTGAACGATTTAAGAAGGTTATCTTTACTTGGAGAATAAAAAGGGTCTCATAATTCTACACTTCCACACCAATTAAAATAATTGTATCTATATTAACACTGCATCCATCCATCTATTTTAACACTACAGTTGCAATTTAAGGTTTGTGCAAGCAGAAAGAGTTTGCCTCTATCCTTGGACTCTTTTGGTTAAGTTTTCTACAGTTAAGTGGTACAGATCGAGCAACATTAACAACAATTTGCTCGAGTTTCTGATAGATCTACTTTGATTCAAAACTGGGTAGCTACTTCCTAACTTAAAATTGTTTATCATTGTTCGGATGTTTTATACTTTGAACACCGATAGAAGTAAAACTTAAGCATGTCTTGAAATTTTCCCTTCTTTTAGGCTATTTTTCAATTGAATGTTGAAACTTCCAGACTAGAAATCTTTGCAAATAGTAAAGTTAGGGTATAGTGAAAATATTAAGACTGTTTTCAAATACATATAATTTGACACCACCTACGAATATTCAATAAGCAAATATAAAACAAATTTTTTCTAGCCCCTTATGATGCTGATTAGAAGATAGTAAATATCTTGAAGATACCTAATTTTGTCATTTTTATTAAAACATGTACTAAGAACAAAAAGCCAACTATGGATTTGCAAAAGTTTTCCTTTGTTGAAATATTAATTTTCAAGACAAAAAACAAGCCACCTACCTTTCAAGTTCTTATACAAGACATCAACTGCATTTCCATGTTTAAAGTTTGGATCTTCACTGAATAATAACCTAAAAAGACAAGAAACCAGTTAATTGTGGATTGTTGCTATGCAAGAAAAATTGTCTTGCTTTTTTCAGTTTTTAGGGTAGTAGCCACAACTCATTGCCTTCCACTATTGTCTCCCACTTAACACAGTTAGTGTAAAACTGTGTGACACATTGTGAGAGTGACAACATAATTTAAAACAGTTTTTTCAACTAGTCGATGAGTTTCAACTAGTCTCCTCATACCTTATTGTTTCTTCTTGGGAACGCTGAACTTTGGAAGGTGGCAGATATTTCTGAAAAAATGATAGATTTGTTATAAAGTTGACATGGATCAGTAATGAAAATAATTAAGACATGTATTATGGACCAAGTAAAGCACTTTTAATGCTTTGGAGTTGTGGTGAGACAAACATAGCAAGGTATGTATCAATAAGTTAAGACTGTGATCATTTGCCCCAAGTTTTAATAACAGGTTTATAAAAATGATTAAGATAGCTTTCATTTTTATTGTTACAATAAGAATTGGTTAAAAAAATACTAAAAACATATTCAAACCTGCAAATGTGCTTTCTCAACAGGGGACAGGCTTTGCCAAGTATGGTAGCTCAGTACACTCTTGAAAACACTTTCCTGTCAGAGATATAAAGAATCACACTATTAAAACCCTTTGGTCCATTTCATGTCAAGTTACTGAGCCAACAAGTAATTTGAAACAATTTTCTGCAAAAAGCTGTTTTTTTCCTAAACTAGTATTCGAAACCAAATCCTTGCTTTGCTGCTTCATGTGGCTCACCAGTGAAAAAATAAAAAAGCAACTATTTTAACTGCCTGGACTTGTTTTTGTTTCATCTTCTGTTTAATACAAAATACACACAATAATCACATGTTGTAGAAAACCCAACAACATACAAAAACAGAGTAAAAATGCAACATGCTTAAACAGTACTTACATTTTCAATTAGATCTGATGGGATATCTATTGTTTCTTCATTCAACACAACAGATAGCTGGTGATCCATGGTGATCTGGTAACCTGTCAGAGAAGGGATAAGTAGGATATATGCTTATGAATCTATCAATCAATCATTTTTGAAAAAATCAGCTAGATTTCTTGCATAGGTTTATACTCAAAGTGATATTTTCCTAAATCTAAGTTTTCACAAACATACTAAAAACTACCAGAGTGACATTTAAGCTTCAATTTTAGGCCCCACTAAGCAAAATAATACCAATTGGTAGTCTAAATACATCTGCAAAGGTGTTTTAAAGATAAGAAATAATTAAGCTGATAGGCACAGGATATGCTGAAAGCATTAAAAAGCATAAATGACATTGTAAAATGTATGTAAAGAATTAATGCATTGTTAGAAGCATATGCATCTGTGTCAACTTTTAGCAAATGCCAATACTAAGTTTTATTTTTAATCATACCAAATCTTACTTAAAAGATATAAACACAATTAAAAAAATTGCTTATTTACACTCTTTAGTGCTTGCCATCAAATGGTTTGTTCAGAAACAATGAACAGACACAAATCTTAATAGATGCAGCCCATTACAATAGATTTAAAGAAAAACCTTTTAAATTTTTGAATTTAGCACAAATTATAAGCAAAATGTGTCCAAAGTGATTTGATAAAGCCAGAAATTTTTTCTGGTCAAATCAATCAATATGGAGTGTTTTACATTCCATTAAACTTCTCTAAACTCTTTGTGAAAAATCCTGCCTGACTTGCAAACTACCAAAATAATAATTCTAATGATCCTAAGATTGAAATAATCTAAATCACATCTATTTTAAAAAAAATACAAGTAATGCCAGAGGTGAAGTGTCCATATTCAAGATCAAACAACAACAACTTCTTGCATACTTTTGGAATTTGAATGATTTTTCTCTTTACCATATCAAAAGTTGAAATACATGTTTTAGCTTAATTATAAAAAAGAACAATGAGCTAATTAATACCAGCTAACAGAACAGCAACAAAATAATTATACAATATCAAGTGCTATCAGAATGACTACAAAGTGTTATCAGAATGAATTCATATGGAAGGCTACCCATTTTGTTGCTTCCCATCCAGTTCTATGTAAAAAAGAAAACAAAAAACAAAGTATGGCAATTATTTGTGTTATAGATCTCTGCTTCTGGTGACCCTGGGCCTTTTGCTGTCAACCATCAACAGAGCATTATGAGTTTGCAAATTTTTTTCTCCTACACGAGCAGAACTAACTGTGTAAAAACTCTACAAATGCCAGTGTAGTTAATGTCCAGTATGTAACTGGTAGCCTTAAGATGTTATTACATTTCCATTAAAATAAGAGGAAACCTTAATTGGTCAATGTTTTTGCAATTTATACTAATTTAAGAACCATCCGTTGGACAGCCTGGTGCATTCAAATAAATACATCAAAATAAAAGGACATGCATTCCACAACTGTACTTGCTATCCAGTATGGGAAGCATGGCAGCTGCACAGCTGGGATAATTTTTGAAAATTTTCACGGAGTACTTGATAAAATGGTTGTTTCTCAAACATAATAGGTGTGATCAGAAATCAGATTCAGGAATTTTTGTCACCCTAAAACTTAGCCTGCGTGCAAACTTTACTTTCTGTTGCAAAGGAGAGCCAGGACAGAACTTGTAAAGTCAGCGTATTAGTGCCCGTTGTTGAGTTCTGCGAGCAAAAGCTCTTTTGTGAAGAGGAGCTCAATCTTGCGCAATAAGTTGACCTGCAAACACAAAGCATCACAGACAATATTGATTTAGACTAAGTGCATGCTTTCTATGAAGAAACTATTTTGAAGTGCGATCAAAATTCAGTGGATGGATTCGGCATTTTCAATCCAAAAGCAGAAATTTTGAGCCTTGATTCTCAATTTTTGGTTCCATTATCAAAACGTATTTGCAAAAACTGTGTCAATGTTTTGAAGCAAAGGAAAAAAATTTAAAGAAGTCATTCAAGGTGGATTGCTGGAATTCAAAGCCTGCAGAGGTGATAGGCCCATGCTCACTGATAATTTGTTCCCCTCCAAGTCATGCTGACAAACATTCTACAAAAAAATCCCAATTTTGTGATCATGACCAGTGTAAAAGCAAAGTTGAGCCCCCAGTTGCTATATCTGTTGACTGGGCCCAAGGAATGAAAATAAGGCCATTGTTTTTCCTATTTCTAGAACGATTGTGTAGTTTCGTTTCTTGCAGATTTATCAGCATGCAATGATTGTGCTTGAATTTGATTGGGTCCTTTGAACCTCAAACCAGATACTGATTGGCTAAAAGACCATACTTAGAAAAAGACAAAATTTATTGTGCAAGGTCTCAGAACTCAAAAGTGGATGCTAATTTGCAGACTTTACAAGTACGGTATTGGTTCTCCTTTGCAACAGAAAGGAAAGTCTGCATGCAGGCTACCTAAAATTGTAATAAAGTAAATTTAAAAAGACAGTTTTTTAGTAAAAACGGATTTTTACATATAAGTTTAAATCATCCAATTTCTGTCTTATAATAATCAGGCAAAGGTTCAAAGAAAGAAATTCAGCAATGAGCACTAGCAATTGCAAACAATGAATCAACAATCTCTTAAAAAAGGACTTCAGGCATTTTTATTCGAACAGCTTAAGGAAGTGCATACTTGAAGTGCACACTTGCAGACAGTTGCACACTGCACATTTGAATTTTTTATGTAATCATAAAAAATGCCGTACTTTTCATACTGGCTCGTTTTCAAAGAGTCTAGCGTCCAATCCCACGCATAGACTTACCATAAGCCTTGCAAATGTTATTTAAAAATAAAATCTATAACTTTTAACCTGCTATATTGCAACATTATTTGTTGCCACCCAAGCGCAAGCGACAGAAAATAATTCCCCACGCATAAAAATACAATAATTTAATATGGTCTTGATCTTGAATTGCTACTCTGTACTTGACGTACAAAGTCAGGGGTCGTGAGTTCGAGCCTCGCTCGGGTCGGTTATTTTCCCGCACTCTCTATTCATTATCTTCAAAAATCCTGTTGTCTTTAAAAAATTGCTACTCTGTTCAATTGTGATCCATTTTACTTATTTATGTTTCCTAGTAGTATTAATTTGATCAACTAACTGTATACATACAATCTTTGATTATTTGACAGTGAGATTACATTTTGCAACAGGTATAAAAACACAGAATTGTTCTTCCTTTCTCACGAGATTGCATTAATACAGGAACAAAGCAACAGGACAAGGAGAATCCAATGTAGTCAAACAAATTTTAAGACAAGTTCAATTATAATAATCTTAAATTCAATAATGGCATTAATAGTCTTGACTGGAATGCGTGTCCCAGAGTGCAAAGTCATATAAATTTATCATTTCATTTCATTTCACTTAATTAAAAATTCTCAGCAATTTATTACAATAATACTTAGTGAATAAAAGATGCAAATTTAAGATAGGTTTTAAGAAAATAATTTACAATTTTCATAAAACATTATTTAACAAGAAGAGCCGATGGACATATTAAAATAACTCTGTGTAGAGCTTTCGAGCCATATGCCCTCAGTGAAATATTTTTATTAGCTAAGAACCGAACATCTGAATTAAAGTCTGCTAGAATTGCTTAAATGCTCTTTTATCGAAAATACCAAACAGAAATTCTCTGGATTTGTTCCCCTCACAAGCAATGTTAGCGAGTAGAAAAAGCTTAAGAAAAACCCTTAGACTGTGATAAAACCTACCTTTCCTCGAAGCTCAGATAATGACGCTCTACGACCGCAATCAGATTCCACAATCATCTGTCCTGGTCCTGGTCGTCGAATAATTCAACATGGCTGCTCCTTTCCTCCGGCCTCAGCTTGCACTCGAGGCTATCTAATGTTTTCACAACAATGCAATTCAACCACGGCAACGGTAAACAGGATTGCTCTTTTTACGTTTCTGTAAACTTCAAGAAAGCCCTTTTTTATGCTTATTTTTTTCGCAATCTGAGCAACAAAATGCCTCCAAAGGCTAAGAAAGGGAAAGGAAAAAAGAAGAAAAAGGATGGTAAGTGTGATTTCTCTATGGTTGTACAGAAACTGGGCAAGGTTACGTTGCGAATTTGTATCAATCAAATGATAATATTAATTAATATGCTTAACATATATTAGTATTTATTCATTGAAATACAATGTATAAATAGTAATGTAAGTTCTGGATGGCACATTAAAAAACTGAAATGAGCCTGAAAATCACAGCGAAACAATTGCCTTGTATTTTATTTATTCTATGTATGTAACCTTTTTGTTTCAACAAATTCATTTTCAAGAGTAGGCCTAAAGAGTCCTTTGCTAGCTTTATGAAAATAAAGAACAGCTCACATTTGTAACTTTATCGAAATTAATATTTATGTAACTTTATCGAAATGTAACTTTATCGAATTGTAACTTTATGAGAGTGCAAAAACAATAACAATGGCAAAATATAACTAATATTTCTGTAGCTTGGCTATGCAGATAAAAATTTTAAATTTATGGCTTCATAAGTCTGACATTCTTTATTACTCTGATTTCTTGCTAATTTACAGACAAAAGCTGAGGAACTCAATTTCTTTTTCGGTAACTACATAAAATAGTAAAGGTTTTTAAAACATCTTATAAGCATCACTGAAAGAAAAGTCTTAGGGAAGCTATTAACTTCAAAACTAATAGAGAGGCAAACCCAACCATATTGGTAACGTTTCCCCCAAGGCTCCCACGTTACTCGGCTCGATAGTCGCACCAAAACTTGGTACGAGCAAAATAAAACGAAACTTAAACAGCTAAACTTATATTTTGTATGAGTTTTAAAGGTATAATCGGTCATACAAGAGGCAAAATTTATGCAAAAGTGTACAGAGGTCCGCGCTACTCTGAGAATTCTCTACGTCTGACCCGGGGGTGAAGGCCCCGCGCGTGTCTCCCACAACCGAGGTGTAGTTCTTGGGGAAGATAATTTTTGAACAAGCAAAAAACGCAATGTGACATGTGGACTTGATTTTCAGAATGCTGCATATAATCAAAAGGTTGATTTGCAACCTTGAGAACAGAGCGAAACCCTCTTTCTTCTAACTTCTAGTTCATAAAAATCCCCAGTCAATGCTTGTCATATAAACAAGGCAAGCAACATTAAACACCAGGAACCCCACAAAACAATAAAACAAATAAAGTTTAAACGCAAGTGCACCGATTTCAATTGGCCGGCGAAACAGTTTCAGTCAAGATTTTTTCAAAACTGTATCCTAGAAACAATTTGACCCCCGTAGTTGTCAGCTGAACGAGCGAGCCCTATATTCTTGCTAAAGGCTCCCACGTTACTCGGCTCGATAGTCGCACCAAAACTTGGTACGAGCAAAATAAAACGAAACTTAAACAACTAAACTTATATTTTGTATGAGTTTTAAAGGTATAATATTTTAAAGGTGAGCTACGCGAATGTCTTTCAAGTACGGCTGTTACAATATGGCCGCTTGCTGTAAGTGTATGGCTGAATGTCTACTGGCCGAGAAGCCGCTGTGACTTGAAATAACTTCTATCTATCATCGCGATGATAACGAACCGAAACGGCTTTGGTGGCACTTAAGAACATAATCTTGATTGACAATCCCTATACTGGGGCTGGACCGTATACTGGGGCGCCTTATACTGGGGGAAACGTTACCAACGTTGCTCAGCAAACCAGTAATCACCCTTCTCTGTTGAATGATTGCCTGTATCCAGGCCTGCCTTTCCATTTGCAAGAGCACCTGCCACCCTTGATCCCATAGGCAAAATCTTGCATAGTCAAGGCTGTATCTATGACCACAAGGTGCAATAGTTGAAGGTCAGATGGGCTAAAGATGTTGAAAGCAAAGAAGTACCTGAAAATTTCAAAGATATTGTCTCTTTTCAGGATTTATAGGAGATGGTGCACATCACCCCCTTCTCAATGGCCCTCCTCAACCCCCATCCTCAACCCCCTTCAACTTGCTTGTGCAATGGAACAATTTACTGTATGATATTCCATTGTGGATGTTATGTTATATGCAGGCTAGATATTAATCTTCATACACATAAGAAATCAGAAAGATCTATATTCATTGATTTCGCAGACCACCAGGTGGTTTACTTATTATTCTATTTGAAAACATTATTTGCAGAAAAATTGCAGTTCAAGGTTCTGCCATTTTAAAAGGCTTGAATTTCAAAATAGAGTCAGAAACTGATAAGAATAGATCATACAAGTTATGTCCAAAGCATGACTTGGACTTGAGCACTGCAGTTGCTCACTTGCTCCAAGTTGGAAAACATATGATTTTGGGGACCCGTCAATGCAACCAACAGCAAATTATCAGCTGCGACCTGCGAGTGGAAGCATTTGAGCTGCGAGGAATGATGCCCATATATACATTACTATAGTACGGTATATGAAGTTCTTGATATTTTGGGTCACTAGAGGTGCGAGGTGTGAGCACAAGAAGTCTAGAGTCGCTGCGAGCATATGCAAGTTTTCCAGGCTAGCACTTGATTGCCTGTTGTTAGAGACCTTCAGTGGGGTCTAAGCTCCCATTAACATATAACATATTCATGTTGAAAATATCCTTGCCATTTCGTGATTTTAAAGCAATTGACTAGATCTGCTTAAATAAGAGGGGCAACTTGAGTTAAACAGGGTTATTTGAACTAAACAACTCCTTTACCTATGTCCCTGCAGCCAGAATTTTATTGATTTAAGCTATTTTTGTTTTGTTTTACATGGATAGACAAAGATGAGTTATCTATTGAAGACAAATACAAGAAAACAATGTTTGAAATTGAATCACTCAAAGAACACCTGGGTAAGTGAAAAACAGAGAAAATGTCAATTTTTTTTCAGCTTGAAATTTTCAATGAAAGTTTTTATTATGATACAGAAGTTGCTTTTTTTATGATTTTAAGGTATTTTTTGTCTGAATGTTTAATTTACTTATCCACTCAACAGCAATGAGAACAGAAATAGCCAGAAGAGCCCAGTCAAAGTCTGAGGATATGAAAGAAAAGATGCTAGAAGCAAAGGAGACTATCCAGTCTGAAAAGCAGATAAAGCTTGAGATTTCAGCAGGTAATCCCTTTTTCCATTGAAATCACGTCATCAATTAACCTAGATAATTAGCCATCTTCTTAGCATAGAGCCATGCCAAAACCATTATAAATTACTGCCTTTATTTAAAACATGAGCTAAACTGAAACTACAATGAGGGTATGAAGCAATACGGCAAAGGAGGGGATAAAGAATGGAATTTCTATCAACTTGTCTTGATTCGATGTCTGGCTCAAAAACAAAGGCTTGAGTTGAATGGAATGTCTACAAAATGGGATTTTTGCTAGGCAAGTGATGAGCCATCATGATGAGCTGTTTTCCTCACATTTGTTGTAACTTTTTTATGAGACATTTTGAGCCATGAGTTGAATATCAAACAGATTTGATATTTTCTTAAACCTGTGTCAGTTTGCTAGTCTAATATGAGTTCACATTTCTCAGAAGTTATCTTTTCGATTGCATCTGGTGTAAGTTAAGGAATATCAGCAGTTTTGAAGCAGTTCAATCCAAATGAATAATCTTTGTTAAAGGAAATTAAATATTCTAGTATGTTTTTTGTTTTCTGAATAATGAATGTACTTAACACTAATAGTGAATTTATTTTCTAAAAGATTTAACTCGGCAATATAAAACAATGCAGACAGAACTGACGTTGAGAGTTCACACTTTGGAAAAGAGAGTTGCTCTTCTTCAAGACAAACTCGGTAATTCATTTTTAAGTTGCTTACTTTTATAATGTTTTAGACTGGTATAAAAGTTCATATGTCTGCAATTCTATAATCTGAAGTATACACATGTATTCAAAATTGTATACGTTAAACTTCAAATAAGCAGAGGGGTTGGCAAAGTATGTCCTAATCACGTTTGTGAGATGAGATATAAAGTCATTTGTAACAGGGTACGGAATAGCGCGCAAGCATACGACCACAGACCACGCGAGATGTATGAACCAAAAATGATATCTAGATTAAAGAAAAATTGGAAATATAATGTGCTACAATAAAAGATGGATCGAAACTTCTCGCCCCCAATAAGAAAGGAATCCCAATTACTTTTAACTACACAACATGCTATTACTATCCTGTATTTTGCTTAGGTGCAGCCGAAAAGCTTAAACAACTCTAGGAATGTTCTGTTTGGTAAATCTACTATAACAGAAAGTTTAGGTGCTCTTCTCACCTTGTAATGCTGTTGCCAACCATTTATGTGTTTTTTTGTATTTCACATATGTTATTCTATTGAAATTAATGATAGTCTATGAAGTGCCTAAAAAGGATATAATAGGGATGCGTGTTTTGGTAGTGATTTTACCAACGAATATATTTACAAATGCTTTTGATATTAGAAGCTTCTCATTACTAAATCACTTGCAAATTAATTTCTTTTTGAGTTTGTCTTTATTTATTACAGATGCAACGGAAAGAGAACTGAAGAAAGAAAAGTTGGAGAAAGCTCAGATAATCGAGCAGAAAGATATGATTATTCAAGATCTGCAATTTAAGATCGATAATATGGAAACAGCATATGAAAATATTTTACATGTATGAAAAGTATATTTTCGTTCTATTTATGATATGCTGTGCAAGAAATATGGCAGAGGTTTTAATTACTAAATCGCGCTATCGAAATTACATTTATCGATCGTGTCAATTCTCAAGATGGCAGTTCTTTGTTGCAAATGTGCTTGACGTTTCGTATGCTCCTTAAAATAGCACAGAAAGTCAAGGGATGGCAAATAAAAATCAAAGAATTGAGACTTTCAAAAGTGGGGTGGGAACATGTAGGCGAAAAAAGAACACCAACGTATGCAAAAAATAGGCCTTAAGCCGCTTGCTTCTGTTGCACGTGGCCTCCTTTTCCCCTGTTCCTACTTCTACAATCACTTACAAACATAACCTAAAACACCAATTTAAATTTCGGACATCTCTTCCAAATATTTTTTCTTCTCGACTCTTTAATTTCATTAGTTTTAATAGCATCTCCCTTTCTTTTTAGGACGCTCTAGATGCAATGGGTGACAAAATTGAAGAGGCCAAGGGTAGATGGGAGGCAGAAAGCACCAAGATTCAAGAGGAGAACAAGATGCTTTTGCTAGAATTTGGATTGAATCCTCTCGATATATGAAACTTTGAGCAACATTTCAATCTGTACATTTCTAAGAAACGTAGCTTTAATGCATAGAAAAAGTTTAAAATGAAAAAACATGCAGAGTGGCTCTGTATTCTCCTGAACATCGTAATTGTATGTGATGAGGGAGAGCAAACTTAGCGTTGAGTCATATGAGAACTTTCTTTAAAATAGCCAGGCTGCTAACGTTTTTTACACCTTGGAAGTTTGTATTCATTATATTTGTGAAAAAGCGTTGTAAATACAAAGTATGTATCTATATTTTCTAATATATATTCTAAGAAATGTTATATTTTCATGTATTTTTGTGCATCAAAAATGTCAATATTCGCATTGAATGTTTAAATGTATTTGTCTCCCTGTATTCTTTTCTCACACTACGCTACATTAAAGGAAAATGAAAAGCCAGCAAATTTTGTTGTATTACAATGGCATCTTTCGTTAATTTTCTACTTTGTTTTGTCTGACTATCTTTAATATCATCTATTTCATTTATTTCATGTCTCTTCTATCCGTGATAGTGAAAGTTAGCATCAATGCCACTAATTCCAGATGAAAAGTCACCAGAAAAAACACAGTTGCAAGAATTTGAACTTTCTTTCTCGATTCTTTCCAAATTTACACGTTGTGTTGCTTAAGAATCATTTGATAATTAAAGCTCAAGAGTAAAAAAGGCTCGTGTTATTCACAAACTATTAATGATGCATTTCAGTTTCAACAGATGATCAGCAAACGCATCAAATAGGCCGTTTTGATTTTATTGACTAATCTCAAATATTTAGGACAAGAGAGACTCCAAAGGTCTATGGTAATGTGTGTAGAATAGGGTAGTCTTAAAAAACTAGATACTGAAATGTTTTGCAGATCTGGCTCCTAAGAAAATAAACTTAGTTTAGAACTTTTGAATACTTGTTTAAATATTTATATAAGCTCGAACATCTTATTAAATAAGCTTGAACATTTGCTCAGGACTTTGAAAAATCAGTTTTAACAAAAATCACTTCCTCAACTGACACCATTCAGAATTTAAACGTGAGAGACAATTTAAACGTCAGTTGTGGAATGGAAATGGCCAACAACAAAATATAATTCATTAAGGAAAGGGCCAGCAACAAAAGTTTTTTTGGGGTTCCCATCCCTTCCCCCCCCCCCCCCCCAAGGAAGGTCCTTTTAGGTTATGCGAACAAAAGTGTAAAATCCTAAAAATTGTTTTTGTGACGTCACACTTTCGTGCATGCTGGCTTCAGCCTCACTCTCATAATTGGTCTCTCGTGTTCCTGTTCCTGTTCCTGTCCCTTTCTTGCAGTTGTTTATCACTGGCCTGCATCAGTGACAATACCGACTACTTCTCTACCAGCTACGCTAACCCAAAAACATTAAGATGCAGGAAGTTTCGAGTAACAAATGCTTCGGTGGATGCACTAAGGTGTTCTCTCACAACAGGTTTGAAGAATTAAAGTATCCATATGTATCTTAAAAGATGTGATAATGCAAGCAATACTGTTTCTTAAAGTGATGCCCCTGCAAGTTTGTAGCAAAAAAATTAGGCAATTTTTATTGTTTCTATGATGTTGCACTCCTAGGTTTATTATTAATCTGGGTTTTTTAAGACTTTGCGCCAGCATCTTGACTTATCAATGTTGACTATTTTTTAAACCACAATGAATTTTTACTACCACAAATATTTTTCACTGCCACAAGACTTTGGTGTATTGCTACCAGAATTATCAAACCTTGTTTTCTTCTACTTTACTAACCATGTCCACTCTAATTGCTGGTTACCTTACGACCTCTGTCTACCATTGGACTTATTGTAATAAACATTGAATTTAAAACAATTCTAGTGATGAGTTGAAGTGTCCCATGAAGTTTGCTGTTTTCATCCCTTCACAAGCAGAACAAGGAAAGGTTCCAGTTTTGTATTGGCTATCAGGTTAGTGCTGAGATTCTGTCAGAAGTTTGATGTGCATTTATATGACAGAAAACTAGATCCTAACTCAAGAGCAGGTTTGTTGATTGAAAATGGAATGCCCATCAGTCCTTGTCATTTGAGCCAGAATAAGCTCCCACCTCATCATGTGCTAAAATTTTTCCTAATTCAGATCCTTGACCTGCTTGTTTGAATTGTTCTTGCCACAGCTGACATCAAGATCCTTTGGCAAATAATTGTGGGTTAATAGATAATTCATATTAATTAAAGGGGTTTTATTAATGCACTCCCCCTTTCAAACATTTTTTACATTGAGCGCTATCTATGTAACCTTCAAATGTTTCTGCTACCTAACGAGACAACATAAGGTTTTCTTCCAGTGCAACATAACATCTTTTTTGGAAGAAGCAGAAGACAAAGATTTGCAGAAATACATTCTGATGTATATAATATTTGTTCATTAAGACTTTTGTCATATTATTTCATTCGCAACCTGTTTTCTCAACAGTAACTTTGCTATAATTTTATGGCGATGTCATTGATCCCTGTTGGTGCTCTCCAGAACATGTTTTGCAAATTATTTCATAGGTCTCACCTGCACTGAACAAAATTTCACAACAAAAGCTGGTGCACAGAAAGTGGCCGCAGATCATGGAATAATGCTTGTAATGCCTGACACTAGCCCAAGTATGTCCTACAAGATATTGCTTTTGGTTGTTCATACAATTGAGTTCAAATATTGCCCTGAATTCTGCATTATATGAAACATTTTATAGTTAAAATAATTAAAGCACTGACTTATTGACAGAATGGGATGGAAATCAACAGTTTTTCAATAATTTGTCATACCAATTTCAATAGAGGTGAATGCTTTCAATGGCTTGCTATGAGTTCACATTTTTTCAATAATTGATATCAGACCAAACAGTTGGACACCTCTCTTCATGGGAAAAGCTATCATAAATGGATTTCCAGTGATAAATTTTTAGGGTAAATTTTGCAAAAAAAAATGCTGCCCTGTTTAGCCATAGCTTCAAAGCCCTTGTCAAAAACTTGATGATTTTTTCACCAGGAGGATGCAATATTGAAGGTGAGGATGACAGTTATGATTTTGGTAGCGGCGCTGGTTTTTATGTTGATGCAACAGAAGAAAAATGGAAGACAAATTATCAAATGTATTCATACATTACAAAGGAACTGCCAGCCCTTGTAAATGCAAACTTTTCAGTTCAAGTAGGAAACCAGTCAATATTTGGTCATAGGTAGGTGTACTTTGTTTATAAAAAGAAACAAAGTTACTTTCAAGTTTAGTAAGATAGGTTGTAAAGCAAAATGAAAAGACAAGAGTCTTGATAGTGGTCACTAGTTGAAGAATTTGACCAAGGTTATGATGATCAACTGTTCAAGAATAGATGATGTCTTTGTTTATAGGTTTGTCTGCACAAAGACTAGTATAATCCAGACTCTCAAATTGTTCCCTGAGGCCTATTCACAATTTTAATAGTATAGTTTGAAAAATGTGTGATTCTCTATCATCCGAAGAAATGGATATCACTGTGAATTTGTTCTTCTTGCCTCCAAGAGCAAAATGACTTGCTGTTTTTCGGCTTGTGACCAGCTCAGTTTTTATAGCAAGATTCCCATTTGAAAGATGTTACAGTATGCCAGAAGTTAGCTTATTGCATTTGAACAAAGTCTGTTCCCGTAAGTAATAAATATTTTAATGATGTTAAAGAAGCAAAACCATCTATTTAGCTGTCCAATTAAGTATATAAGACAATATATGACTTTTGAAACTAAGTGAAAAATAAGTGCTTAATCAATGGTACAATGTCTTCTAGTATGGGAGGTCATGGTTCATTGATATGTTTCTTGAAGAATCCTGGAATGTATAAGGTTTGTGTGATTAAACTATTTTAGAAAAAGGAAGTATATATTTTTGGAAGTAGAGGTTTATCATTTATTGTGTTTTATTAGCAAATTTCATTTCCATTTTCACTACCATTAATATACTAAAAAAGTCAAATATTAAATACTTCTTCTAACACCCGACCTTTATCTGTATCATATTTAGGGCTAAAAATATACTTGACTGTCCTTTTGTAATAGTGACTAGGATGTCTTCTTTTTAGTCTGTATCAGCATTTGCACCTATTTGTAACCCAATGAACTGCCCATGGGGAAAGAAAGCCTTTGGTGGATATTTAGGCACTGACCAAGAGAAATGGAAGGTAACTGTCTTTGAAATATTGCTCCACTGTTGCTAAACTTTTACAAGTGCGTCTTCCTGTAACCTTATTAAATGGCCATACCATACCACTTATGTTTATGGAGGTATGATGATGGCACAGTGGTTAGGGTTGCTGACTACAGATCCAAGGGTTTGTGGTTTGAGCCCCTGACATGATCAAAGTTTTTCTCAGAATGAGGAGAGTCGCCAGCTTTCTGAAATTACAGGTAAAGAAATCACAAGGTGTGGTCACATAGAGTTGAAAGACCAGGAGACTGCTCAATAAGCATAGCTTTTCAGTTTCATAAACATACTAAAATGCGTGCAGTACAATATGATCAATGTCATATACTGCATCTCGTGCACCAAATGTAATGTTCTGTATATTGGTGAAACATCGCACCAGATTAACAAGAGGTTTGGCGAGCATTTACTTTATGTCAGGAACAAAATCCACCTCAACAACAAACACGACAATGATCCTGATAGCAACATTTCCAAACATTTTAACCCGGCGAATCACACAGAAGATGACATGGTAGTTCTTGGCCTCTTGTTTGCCCCAACGGACAGTGCAAAGAGAAAGTCACTGCAAAAACGGATGATTTTTAAACTTGGAACTTTATATCCTTCTGGACTTGATAAACAATAAACCCCCCTCCCCCTCCTTTTTCTTTGGTTTTTCTTTTCTTCATATTAGTGTGCATATACATACATATACATAAATTCTGTATTTGCGTATATGTATATATATATATATATATTTTCCATGCTCTTATATCCGTCTTCCTATTCCATTTGTCGAATTCCTATTTCTTTTAACGTTTTTCAGTTCTATCATCGCTTTTCAATCTTACTTGATAACGGGCTAAATTTTTCCTGATACAATTTACTTACATTGATCGTTATTATAGCTTTTCAGTGTCCTAAAACTACCTTCAAAAGCTAGGTAGCAAACAATACAATACAAATATGCTTTTTTACTGTTTTAGTCCATGATATTAGTTTTGGTGATATGGCAAAGATGATTATTCGGTATTTTACCTTGTCTTGTTCAGAATTTTTCCTTTGAAATAAATCTATCGTCTTTTTTTGGTTTTTGATGATAGTATTAGAAATGGAAATCCATTTCTTCTTGATCAATTATTAAATATATCGTTATAGGAATATGATGCCTGTGAGTTGGCTAAAAGCTATTCAGGACCAAGATGTGATATTTTAATAGATCAGGTGAGCTTTCACTTAAATGAAAATTATTTTATTATCAAAACAAACCATTACTACTATCATCATCGTGAAAATGTCTGCAGATAATTTGGCTTGCCAATTTTTCAGACTTTCTTTTATATAACTGAATATGAGCAAAAGAATTTATACATATCAATATAGATTATTTGTGGGTTTTAAAGGGAAAGAGTGACAACTTCTTTGTTGATGGTCAACTTCTTCCGGATAACTTTGTCAATGCATGCAAGGAAAATCCATCCTGCAGTGTGGCTGTACGAATGCAAGAGGTAAATGCCCATTTATTCTTCTAAATATAAAATCAGTCTATGGTTTGCCCTTGATCTTGAACTAATGTCTATCCACTTATTTTCAGGGAGTGATTGATATATTTTGAAGATGCTCATTTTTGGTATCATCTCTTAGCATACTTAATTTTTTGTTACCCATTCATCACCAGAGCTGAACATGCTTTGTTGTATAGAAAAAACTTAATGCTAATTATAATTATGATATCGGCAACAGCTCCAAATGTTATATAAAATCACAAATACCTAATGATTCATAACTTCACAAAGGGTCACAACTTAAGACTCTGAATTCCATCTTAGACTGTCTGGTTTTACGCACCAAAGGGTGAGTATCTCTGCCTACACGGTATCAAGCGCTATGAGACTAGTAAAACAGTAATTTTCATAATGTTCAGTCATTTAGATATAATAAATCAAATTCATGGGCAGTTCTTCTACCAAAGTCATGAAATAATCTTTTTGACAATATAATCTTCTTTTTGCTACAGGGATACGACCATAGTTACTACTTCATATCAACATTTGTAGAAGATCATATTAAGCATCATGCCAAGTACCTCAAAAACTGAGAATCTCACAGAAAAGGACTGCAAATCGTATTTCAGCAAGTGTAGAGGAAATTCTGAAGTGGAACAGAATTAAAATTGTGATTTTTGTAGAGATTGCTTGTTCAAATGTACTAGAGAAATGATAATTGTGATTTTTTATCAGTAAAATTCAAGACAACTGTGTTTGTATTACATAAAATTACAATTTGTGATTCAAATGACTGTATTTAATATGCGTCTCTGATGACTATAAATTTGCAATTGTTCTTTTCTTTTTCTATTGTCAATCTAGATCTAAGATCCAGTAACTTGATGGTCACAGGATTACACTGTCTAATGCCTTAGATGTTATGGTTAGTGTCTGCAAGGAAGATTTAGCACGTATTGTTAAAAACGTTTTCCACAAATCACCATTCTGTACCAAAGCTTTGAAAATAGCGAATAGGGGAAGGGGCAGTCACGTTATCCGAAGTGTCCTCAGATATCTACCCTATTTACAGTGTGTTCTTAAAAAAAGAAGAAAAGAAGAAAACAAATCTTATTTTAAGGGCCTGCCCGAAGCATATTTTTGAAGGAGACAACTAGATTTAGCTTGAAGTAAAGTGGAAAATTGACATCATCCCTGATTGTAAAAGACCACATTGAGCACTATGCCAAGTACCTCAAAAACTGAGAATATAATTATGGGGCTGGCCAAAGTATAATGATACATTATCCCTGGATATGCCTCCGACATGCTACTACGTAATCAGCTCCTGAAAGATTACCATAGAGATAAGACAGACAGTAGAGATACACAGCGTTTGTTGTTAGAATGGCAATGACACTATCTAATGAGATTTAAGTCATTGCTTAAAGGAATATTATTATCATAGAGTATCATAGAATGTCATAGGATATTATCATAGAATTTTTATTACGAGATACTAATAGTAGACATAGAAGCACCAGCACAAACAAAGGACGAAAACTCAATAGAAGGATGATTGCGAGATTTGCAGAGATGAAGAATTGTGTTGAGTTGAAGAACAGCCTGACTCTATAGGAATGACACGAATGATGTGAGGTTTTCAGAAGAGGTGTTCAAAGTCTACGCCGGTCATTACATAAGAAGGAGCTATGCGCTTTTTGTTGAATATTCTAATCCACTGTAAGACCACGAATCAGAAACGAGGCTGTCAAGGATCGTTTTAAGTGTGTGTCATCATGCATTTACAAACAAAAGGAAAAGCAAGGTAACTTTTTCTCTTTAAGTTAAAAATAAGAACATGATCTTACATCACAGGGCTTATTATCGCGTGCAGTGTTAAATAATTGGTGCAGTGATATGTCGTAACTGTGCAGTGCTAAACTCAAATTTATTGCAGTGATAAAACTAAAATGAAGAGATTTGGTATTAAAAATTGCAGCAACTACCAGTCGACCCATACAGCTTAAAAAAGTGCATTACAATATTTAAAACGTGCATTACATGTGTCATGATCAAAATTTCTCTAGTATGTTTTCAGTATCTAGAAACTATTTGGTTTGTTTTATTCTAAATCTCCTCCTTTGAGATCTTTATTTTCATTGTTTAAACCTGGAACATTGTTAGTCTTCACATAAATCTCTTGCAAAAGCTGGGTTGAGTGGTGGCGTAATTCGATAATTGCACATAAGAAAATGTTGTACGCTACAGTTTGATGGGTGTGGTCATGAAAATATCCAGAAGGCATCACACAAATTTTCAGAAATAATGAATATGCTCAGTGATAAAAACTCTATAAAAAAACTCTGTTACATCGCTTCAGTTCCCTATTTCAGTAAATGAATCAAACTCAGTAACAGCTCGCAATGAATAGGAATGATGCAGTGGAATATAATGGCATTTGTCGCTAAACATAGCTTATTATCTATTATACGAAATCAAAGTTGTTATGAAATAGAAAATCACCTCATCACTATGACTTGCTGATGTTGATTACAGGAGGTGGGCATGGCCTGTATGTCAAAAGTTGCTGTCCTCCGATTTCTGCCGGTTGGGACTTTCCAAGCTTGAATGAAAACTTGTTCAGTAGAAGGGCCAATACAATCTTCAGTTCCAACAAGGCGAAGCGATATCCAATGCACATCCGAGGACCACGTGAGAACGGTAAGTAGTAATACGGGAACAGAGGGTCATTTTCAGCTGCGAAAAAACAACAACCATTGTTATTCTACAACATTGTTATTAATAACTGGATGCAGAAGAAAACATGACTGAACTTTCTGATCATCATCTTTACAAATCCCAACGTTATTGGTTTGATCAAAAAAGAAATCGACACGCTGAAGAGCTTTCTGATTTGAGACTGTAGATGTACGTGTACAATGCCTGCCAAAAGTTTCGGTACACTAACGTCTGTTTTCAAGAGGAAATTTAGCCATTCCGCTCCACCGTTTGAACAATGTTAGTTTAGGACAAAATGACGAAGGGGATCAAGAAGTATGTTTATGATATTTTTCCAAATCATAAACATTAATCTGGGGGGAAGGGGTGCGGAAGTGGGAGCATTCGGGAACAGAATTGACAAATACGAAACAACATATATTGCTGGGCATTCCAAGGACGTTTCGCAGTGATTGTAGCCACGTTGTCTGATATGTTTACAAATTGTCTTCATGCTTGGATGATGATTAATGAGTTCTGGTTGTCATAAACCTGGTAAAGTGACCATTGGCCAAAAACTGTAATTTAACCACTGGCCCCTTAAAACGTAGCACTTGTTCAAGAGGCCTTAATCAACATCGAATTGTTGAAGAATTAAATGTAAAATCAAACCTTGTTTAGAAAATCTGTCCGGGTTGAACTCTTCTGGATTTTCCCAATATTTTGGATTTTGATGCAGAGCACTGACATTAATCAGAAAATTGGTGCCAGGGGGAAAAGTATATGGTCCTAGTTTATCTTCCTTCACAGACATGCGTCCATAGGAGATAACAACAGGATAAAGCCTCATCGTCTCCTTGATACATTCATCAAGAGTTTTCATTTTGTCAATATCATCAAACGTTACATCAGTGGCGTCATTGAGGATTTCCCTTACTTCTTTTTTCACCCTTTCCTGAAATTCCTGGTGTTTGGCAAGGAGAAAGATAGTCCATGTAAATGTCAAGCTTGTTGTCTCGTGCCCAGCAAGCATGAAAGTAAACAACTGATGAAACAGATCCTTGTTGGATATTGTTGTTCCTGCATCTTCATACATTGTGATCAGAATCTGTAGGAGGTCATTCTTGTCAAGTGTTTCTCCTGGGTGAGTTGCCATCTCCTCCCTCCGTGATTTAATAACCTGCAATAGAAAAAATGACCTTTTGACGATCAACATCAACCATTTATCCGAAGAAATCTTTATGATAACACCGATCCCATCATCGGGCAGGCACTTAAAAATTTTTGTACATGACCACACTACTTTTTGGACCGCTTTTTGACAGAGTCAAGAAAATTCGTTAACCTTCTTCCAGACAAAAAGATCCCAGAAGGCAAAATTTCCTCACAAAACAATATAAAGTGGGCGTGGTTTGGGTGTGTCGTATGAGCTTCAATTATTTTTCATGTACCTTCCTCTGGTCAGTGGCCGTGCGACCACAGCAAAATTCCGCAGCAGACATTAGCTCATGTTGGTGTAGCACAGGCTGTATCTCTTCAAAATTTCTTTTAAAACGCAAATGAATAGAATATTACTTTTGGAACTAGTTTTCCCGTACACTTAGAGCCCAAAGGCTGAAGTTCAAATGTAACACTGATTCTTTGTCAAAAGGAGAACTTCCAAGAATCATCAAGATATACCTTCTCAATTAAACCATAGGATATTTCCTCGGCATCTCTCAGCATATCTCGCTCTTTGGAGGGCACGATCTTGAGAGGCGGAAAAAGCTCCTCAAATGATTTACGCAAAATGTTGAAGCTGCCACCTAGGATGTGGCTCGATGCTTCACTTTCCTTGCTGTCACCCCTGAGCACACAGTTGAAATTATACCCAAATGCAGAGAGGCCAATCACGTCTAATGTCATGTCAGTAAATTTCTTCATCATTTCCATTTCAATCGGTTCTCCTTTGTTTTGCTCGATTTCCTTTTCATAAAACTGAAATAAAATCATTCAATTACATTGGATCGAACAAATATAGCTGAATTTAACGTTGACTGAAATCAAGTCATCATTGTGGCCGGGAGGACATGGGGGGGGCCGTGACCCCCTCTGCTTACAAAAGCTGACGGATTTTCGGAAAAATCGTTTATTTGTCGGAAAATTCAATAACTTAGCTGTGGGTAATTCCTAAACTTTTAGCAATATAAATTACTTGAACTAAAGTACTTACCGTAATTTCGAGAGACAATTCACTTTTGGGAAGAAAATACTAGATTTCCACAAATCAAAATGATTTCTCGGGATTTACCATTATCTACCATAGAGTGATTTGCTGCTCGGATTTTGTTAGCTAAAATCCGAATTTACAAGTACCAAATTTGGTTATGGAAATTGTTCAATATTGTTCATTAATTGAAGACCGGGACAGTGCCAATTTTGTGCCTGTAACCAGATTTTTGAAAATTTTGTGCTTTCCCCCAATGGATACTCAATTCAAGAATAAGAACTATTAAAATTTGCTTCAAAGAATGCAATTTCCGGTGAAGTTAAAACATTAGATTAAAAGACAAGACAACTGAGACACGATAAAAGTGCATTTCAAATATCTTTCCAGCTAAGGCAAAAGTTATGAGTTTTACTGTCCCATCCACTCTTCTTGCAATTACATGAAATGCTTCCATTTGATTAAAATAAACCGAAGAAATTTTGTCGGAAATTTTTTAATTCTGGTCCCCTCTAGAATTCATTCACTACGACGCCCCTGTCATCACAAAGACTTTCAAAGATCAAATACTGTTTTAAACAGAACTAGTTATGACAAAAAACGTCTTTTTCTTTAAAAGCCATAAAAATCGTTGTCTAATACAAACAGGGGCGGACAGACCGATCGGGCACATTGTACATCGGACATGGACAGAAGACCCGCATGCCAAAGGGAGCCAGGCTTTTTTGTTTCGAGCCTTTAGTTAAACGTAAGGGGTCACCGTATTTCCTCTAATGAACGCCGCCTTATGATAAACGCCGCCCTTTATTGAACGCCGCACCTTCAGCCAACCATTTGGAAAAAACGCCGTCCTCTATTGAACGCCGCATCTTGAAAAGCGGCGTTCATTAGAAAACACACCACTATTCGAAAGCTGTGAAAGTTTTTATCTCATAGAGACGAGGACTCTGACGGAGGCAGGGGTATTGACATTCCTTGGCATTTCCATAACGTGAAGACATCTTTTGTAAACTTTCAAAAATTGTTCACACAATCTTTATTACGTGTTTTTTGAAAAGGAACATTGTTAAAAGTCTGCTTTTATCTTTTTTCATTCGAAAAACTTTTCATTTTGTATTTAACGCCGCCCTCTGATAAACGCCACCCTCTACTGAACGCCGCATCCAAAATTTGGAGTTTGCAATAAACGCCGCGACGTTCTTTAGAGGAAATATGGTTGTCTAGTTCATGGGCAGAGGGCCGAAGAACCCTTCAGAACACAATATGTATGTTAGATGTACCAAATTTTGGAAGGACAGTAGACATGAAAAGGCATAAGAATGTTCGGAAACAAGCCCGAAAACCAACAGGTTTTTCAAAAAGGTGGACAAGAGTCTCTCCTGTACGATCTCAGAGCTCGCAATATTTCTTACATAATCACAAAATCTCTTAAATAAAGTAAAAAAAATTGATACAAATGATATGATAATCTGAGACAAGAGCAGCACTAGAAAAAACCATTGAAAGAGCCAATGTTTATAATTTCCATAACATATAGGCAGGGCAGCCGCTCCTGTTCTCTGACAGGCAACATCCTAAATCATTTTCCAAATGATGTTTTCATGAAAACTTTTGCTGATGGATGCTACATGCCCTTCCACTGACAAAGGCCACCCCAATTAATTTGTTAGAATTTAGCAGTTTTTAAAACATTATTCCGAACAAAGTGGTCGATAATCTCTAGCCATAGAAAACCCTACGTACCTGCAACAATTCACTGCCCTTTTCATTAAATATCGAGATAAATTTTCTCACGCTTGACAAAGAGAACGCTGGGTTAAGTGTTTTCCTCTGAGTTGCATGCGCCTTTCCAGAAGTTGTTAAAAGGCCGGTGCCAAGTGCAGGTAGAATTTTGAGAATTACATCATCCCGTCGGTATCTGCTACTGTTTGTCACCAATATCTGTTTTGCAAATTCTGGATCATTGATGAAGACTGTGGTGCCAGCTACAAGAACAGTTAGAACCATTTAGTTTAAAAAAATGGAGTGGCATGAGTTAATCAATGCAATGGACAGCCAATAAAAAAACTGATTAAAGACCATATCTCACATGCAACGTGCATATAGAAAGGGGTCAAGGGGGAGAGGGGTTTCTCAAAATGCTTATAGTATGTTGCTGCAATAGGATCGGAACAGTGAAAAGTAGACCATGTCAATGGAATTTACAGTGGAATCTCACAATTACAAACTCAGTGGGAACAAGAAAAAAGTTTGTTATATATATAAAGAAAATGTTTTGAAGAATCCTAAACATAAATAGGTCAGAATATTTCTTAGACCCTTCTTATAATTTTATGAGATTTGCATTAGAATAAAAATAAAAAAACAACTTGTGGAGATATGATCAATATCATCATAACTGAAAGAGCTCAACTAGATCTGAGAATTAGAAAATACATACATAATCCAGTATGAAATGTAGATTTTTTATACAGGGAGGTCCATTTGTGTGTTATTGAAATTCACCCAAAAGTATCCAAAATATCTAACTGACACAAAATTATCAGCTAAAAAGTGTTGATACGGCCCAGAAGTATCAACATGCAAAATCAACAACATGCAAATGTTGTTGAGCAGATAAGACCACTAAATTTGTTAGATCACAAGGTGTATTGTTAAATCAGGTGTCCAAAAGTATCAGATAATGAGGAGAATTCTTAACCTAAATTACCTGATAGACCCTCTGAATACAAAAAATTCAAGTGATCACCCTGAGCTGTGCACCCTGAGATTGGGGGCGTGCAGGGGCAGGGCCCCAAAACTTTTTACAATAAAATTGTGATCTCTAAAAACCTTAAGCTGCTTATAAACTTTTTACACAATCTTGATACAGTTACTAAATTCATTAATGCTTTTTAATTTTTCACTAAACTTCAGTCAGGGTAGGTACTCTTTCATTTCTAATCGCAACAAATGCCATAGGTTTAGTCCAGTGTACCTGATGGTTTCTATTCCAAATACATTTGTCTGTGGAATTGGTACCAGTACCAATTCCACAGTTAAAAGTGGTCATTGCTCCTTAGTGAGTCTATATTTTCTTCTCAACAAACATTTTACAAACAAATTTAGGATTTAGATCAAGTTTGCTCTTACAGAAATTTTGGTAAGCAACTGTAGGTTTCTTTGTTGAATGGTGACAGAATCTGATTTTATTTTAGATATTTAAGATTTGGTGATGTCTCCTTGAAAGCAATTTTTAACAACACTCTTTCTTGAATGATTATTGATTTTAATGTTCACCTTTTTATTGTGAAACATAAAAATTACAGAACAATAGTTCATAACTAGAGATAGCATAAAAAGGTATTCATAACTGTCTTTAGCTTTTCTAGCTAGATGAATTTGGCAACTCTTGCAAATGCATGAAGTTTTTGACATGTTTTTGGCATATATTTTCAACTTGACATTTTCATTTCAATAGTTTTAAAGGGTATGTTGTGCCAATAATTACTGAAGTGTCAAAAACATAGAATGAGATTTTGCATCCTTTAGCTTCACGCTGTTTGTCAACAAACCATTTGGAAAGTCAATCAGCATCTGTTTATGTTGAATATTTTCACCTAAATCGCATGCAAAGAGTTGCAAGAGTTTTTGTTGCAGATCTCAGTGTCATTTGTCAAAAAGAAAATTTAGTCTATCAATATTTTGAATCAGAGTATGGTGATAACCAGGGCCTCGACCTGGTTCGATAATTCTATTGTCTGTTGTCGCGCCCCACTTCCTGCGAACTATCACCTTTTTGAAATTCCTTTCAATGAGGTAAGTTTCACTTACTGAAAACAGAGTAGTCTTTGCAGATCTTCCCATACTTTCTGCCCATCTCAAGCAAAATACGATGTCTGTCGCCAACATTAGAATAACTCAATGTATTCCCAATGATTGGATATCCTGTTGGGCCTGGTATTTTTCTGAGAGGATCAGTCAGCCATTTTATGACCTTTGAAACAGCAAAAATCACACAAAGGGCTGCATAGAATTCCCAGCTTGTCAAAAGAACTGCTAAAAGTGACATCCTTCTTCTTTCTTCAATCTTCAAACAGCAAAAACGTGAATTGGCAAATAATGTATAACACTTCGATTGTCGGAGGACCTGTCCGTTGCTCCTGCTCTCGATCACACAGGCAAAATCGCTGTGTCATGTTTATGGTAAATGGCGAAACGATTGGCTAATTTTGTGAAACTTGATCACATGTTGAAGAATCAAACAAACAACGAAACAAACAAGCACTCCCGTCCCGAGCTCCGTAGTGTCAAACCTTTGACATTTAGAGTATGACCTTTCACCTGTCGAGTCACTTTGGGAGATCAGTTTACGACTCAAAAACAAGACTTTTCGAGCGGGGAAAAAGGGTCTTGAGGGCAAAAAGAAAACCCAGAAATTTAGGAAAAAATTGAAAGCAGTAAACTTTGTCTCAAAGAGATTGCAAATGTCACCCCAATGCACTTAAGACCTTGCCAAAAAATCAAGCAACTATAAAAGATTGCCCAACATTATCATTGTTGGACGATGCTTCATGACCAAACGAATAATCAAGTGTCAGGACATTTGAAATGACCAAGCGCTGCCGTACAGCTTCTACAGTTACTCTGTTTTTTCTTCAAATTTCAACTACTGCTCTTGTGTGAGTCCAGGGCCGTCGCGAGGCAAGCCTTGTTGGGAGAGGGTATGGGCTACGAATTTAGCAGACTCAAAAAATTACCTAAAACTCTTAATTTACTGACCTCTGCAACGAATTTTGTCAATCCACTCGGTGGGATTGCACTAATTCGCACTTCCATTTTTATATGATAATGACGGACTTTAAAAATAGTTTTGTCAAATCTGTATATCGGGAAGGACAAAGGATATAGTTACTTACCGCGGCAGCACCATGGTTGCCGCCGAAGGACTAGAAAATTTTGATGCTTCCAGTTCCCTGAAAATGCACTCTTTGAAGTAAATTTTACTAAAGCAATCCTCCTAATCTCATTGAAAATTATTTGATTTTTGCGTACGAATTGAACTGCAGATGAAAACAACTGGTACAATTTCGCTGTGATCTTGAAAAATATCATGTTGTTGCTATACTTCTAAAGCTAGGTAACAAACACCACTGGTTGTGAATTTAGATCCCTCTTTCAATCTTGGCAGTCCTTTTGAATGTGAAAATATCTGGAGCTCATTGTGAATTGCAGTTGACGCTTCTACCGAGAAACTTTAGGGGCAATAGACACAAGGCACAATTTTACCTAAGGAGGGCCTGGATTTTTCGATTTAGTGCCAACAAGAAATCTTGAAAACATTAACGCTTAGTTTGTTTGCCGTCATTCATATAAAAGAATATCATATTTAACTAACAGAGCAACTACCTTTGCTTGATCTTTAATTGATTTCAAGAAATGAAGGTCTCTAAACTACCTAAACTATTTCTTCCACAGAGCAGATTTTACCTGAAGTTTCCTATTGAGATACTATTGGGGGGGGGCAACACACCCCCACTCTCCACACCCCCAGTCGCGGAACCCCTGTGTGAGTCAAACAAATGTTTTAGAGATGCTTTACGAATGAGAAAAAAAATGAGAACAAAGGAGATGTTTTACGAAATGTTTCATGGACATCAAATCTGGTAAAACATCGGAAACATCGTTGTTGGATGACGTTTTATGCCGATGGGCCAGGGCTTAGTGAGTTCCTATCTAACAGACATAGAATAAATTCTAAATCTTTCTAGCTTTCTAGCCCTTCAAAAAACTAAAATCATTCTAGCTTTCAAAACTATTAAACTAGTTTTCATTTTTGGGCGTCAATTTTCATTAGGGCAACTCCCCTGTTTTACAAAGTGATGTCTTGAAAACTTCACAATGAGAATACTTTGCATTGTGTATCAAATCTTTTTCGGAAACCTTTCCATACAATAAATCTTGTCTTGGTGAAAAACAGCAGACGTATCAGTAATAATAAAAGAACAACAGAATCCTGAAAAGACCAATACTTGCTATCAACTGGCAAATTTTGTTAATAAAAGTAGCAATGATGGCAAGCGTTTCGTAGTCTTCAAGCAAAGCAGTTATGGTTGCTCACGCTACAGTTCAACTAGATATCGGTGCTACACCCTCATCAAAATATCATTACATTTTTGTAGCAAAGAGTTACTGTGCAGTCTTCTATTTGATTTCTTCTTCGAATTACGAACTCTTTCATTTATTTCAAACCAACGTGGTTCGCTTCAGCCTTGACTTTGCCCATTCGACGAAATCATCTATCAGCACCGGCCAGGCCCCTGTAAAAATAAATGTCTATCCATTTTAAGCGAATTCTTTATCAGTGTCTTTCAAAGAACTTCAAACTTTAGAGTCATAAACTGTCAGGGTGGCGTCATATCTTTGAAGGACTGTAAAATTTTGGCGAAACCTTACATCGCTAAGTGCTTAAGAAAGAGTAACCGATTGAATGAACAAATTTTCAAGCAATTATTCCCCTACTTTAAAGCTTCTTCGGCGTAGTGCAGGGCAGGCGTGTCTGCTCCTCATTACTAGTACATCCTTACTTCCTTCCCAACAACAACAGGACAACCAGTGGCGTACCCAGGGCTCCAGCAGAGGGGGGGGGGGTCTGGGGCGTAGCCCCCAAAAAAGAATGGACCACGCCCTTCAAACACTCGCAAATGCGGGGAAACGCCCTTTTTGCAAATTTTCCCCCATTATTTAATTCATTTTAGCTACGGTAAATAGCAAAGTATTTTACAATTGTTATTGACACAAGCATACAATATACTACCCCCCCCCCAATGAGTTTTACATCGTTTTTGGACAATACTCGATTACCATATTTTAGAAAAGTGGGGGGGGGGGTCCGGACCCCACTATTCCCCCCTTGGGTACGCCACTGAGGACAACTAGAAAGCTGTGCAAAACATAGCAGTTAACTTTTTCAAGATACCTCAATACATGCTGCGCCAAATAGCATTTCAAAATAAAACAATAACATATCTTTTCTTACCTTCCTCATCATAATTGCTCATATCATCGGATATCATATTACTAAAGTCAAGGAGAAGGTTCCACGTGTCCCTTGGTATTGAATGCTTTTCATTTTCCTAAAAATAAAAGGTTATTAAAAATATCAGGGTACAAAAAACTTGTTTAAATATTGGTGAAGTAATGCAAAGGTCTGCTATAAATGTTGCACAAACGTCACTCACTACACTTATTGTTGACAAAGAAAGAAAGAAATTGGGAATGAAGTCTTACTGTCAGAAATTGAACCCAAAGGTCCAAGAACTTGAATCTGCCTTTTAAAACAATGTTCCAATAAGCAATAGCAATCTCCAAATCTAAAAAGAAAACAGCCAAATACTTTTTAATTACACAGCCTACCAAGCAGTCACATTTAGATTTGTTTCTGTTATCATAAAACTACTGCAGTTGAATTCTGGAATTCAAATACAAAAGAGCTGGCAATACATAAAATTTGAACATATAAGAAATTGTATCTCAACTCTTGGCAGAAACATAAGTGAACAGGTAGAAAATGATAAAACTTTTGAAAATACAAGTTGCCAAAGGCAATAAATATTCCATCTTCAAGCCTTCAGAGAGCTACTGTTACCTGAGTAACTGACTCTCAAACTAACATAACAGTCTTACATAGATTTAATGAATATTTGCAGTTTTATGATTCAAAATCATTGAAAAAAATTGGCAACTAATCACAACTGGCCAACTAACCTAATCCTTTTTGTTCCACATTTTTTGCAAAATTGAATGTAAATTGATACAAATCTTTAAATTTGTTTTTATCTGACAGTTCCTTGTCTATTCTTGGAAGAGTTCTTTTTAAACCATCCAAAGAATCAGTACTGAAAAATAAGTCATTATTTCAGGATTTTCAACTTTACAAAATATGTACTTATTACAAAATGTTTACAAGTTTTTCATTCAATTAAAACAAAGCCTTTTTGTTTCATGCAGGCAATCACCCCCACCAACACCATTATTGAAACATTGATGCAAGCTATTGACTACCTTTAAAAAAACAGGTTTCACCCTCAAGACACATCAAGAGCATTAACTGAAAAGTTAGCTCCTACAAACGCTGGTACTCCTGAATGAAAGGTCAAGTTGCTAATGAAAACAAAGCATTATTGCTTCATTATTTAACAAATTTTTGACACTACAAACAAATTTTAGCTCATTTTAAGGAAATACAATAATCACACCAAGCTATCTCCCTCTGTTATTGGTCCTCTTAACATTCCGTAATATACACAGTCAACTTTACACTAGGTTACAGAAAGTTCAGTTTAGTTCATTTATAATTTAAAATTCTCCACATACAATTTAAAATTCTACAGTACATGCAAATAACTAAACTACATAGATAGAATACATAATTTTACAAAGGCTTAATTGAAAGCCTAAAGACAAATGTAATTTTGATGGGGAAAGAACATTCCAAAAGTTGAACAACCTACAGCATCATTAAATCTAAATCAAAAACTTTTCACTATGACATGACTGTCTTAACTCACCCTAAATCTAACATGCCATCCGTAAATTCTTTTCTAGTAAATTCACACTGCACAGCAGCCTTGAACTTCCAACAAATCAAAAGAATATCAAAGCTTGCTGGATCTAATCTTAGATCATCACAAAATCTGCTGATTCCTTCTACCAAAATTTTCTCCTCGTTTGGATCTATAAAACAATGGTAAAACCTCAGTATCAGTATTTTGGATATCTTCAAAATAGGCCTTAATCCTCTGGTTTTCAACCTATGTGAACTGACCCATATAGGTTTGTTGGTAGATTATGAATATTCATATGTTTACTTAATAAAGCAGCAATGTTGTGTCAATGTAAAATTTCTTTTAAAAAAAATACTGATGCCAAAACAACTGGCAGTTAAACTAAATTCAGGAATACTTAAACAAGCTGCTTTATTTTCACTTGGACTCGTCCACAAAATTTGTTCTAAAATACACTTTCACTTTCATGCTTTCAAACAATTTTGCCACCATGCCTTTTAGATTGACTTTAATTCACTAATTTTCTTGCAATTGTTTGAAAGGCTTAATCCAGAGTATTGGCATTTCTATGTTTAAACCATTGTATGTAACTGCCTTAAAATGGGGATTTGGAATTTATATTGCAATTTAAAAAATATTGAAACAAACCTTTATATTTCTCAAAAAGTGCATTCAGTTTCTTCTTATCTACAGATGGTTTTGACTCCCTGTAATACTTTTCAGGATGTTGGAAATAGCTATCAGTAGAAACATCCATACGCCATTCATGCATACTCAAACAGTGGATGGCAGTTTTTTCTCCTGTGTTTGTGAAAGCAATGAACTGCCTTACTTTTTCTTTTTGGGACGTTTTGAGTTTATTCTGACAAAAAAAGGGATTATTACATTTCCCATAAAACATAAATATGAGCAAATCATCAATATTATATTTATACTGTGATGTTTCACATAATGATCACCATTTATAACAAGGGTGAGCAACCTACAGCCTGCAGGCAGAAATCTGGCCCATGAAGATAATTTTTGTGGCCCACAAGATGTAAGATCATATTATTTTTTTGGCTGGCAAGGATGATATTCTGAACGGTCACAAAAATTGAATGAAACATATGGATTCATAAGGAGATTATGATCTTCAAAACCAGGAATCAAGGAAATATTTAGTTGTTATCCGTTGCAACATATTCTTTATGCTCCATTTTTGTGTACGAAGAACTAAGTTTATAAAAAATATGCATATATAGACTCTTTCCCATAACGTTTTTTGCTATGCAATGCATGCTTGTTTCTCTGTAATTAGTGTGCCAATTTATATTGCTTGCAGCCAAGTAATGATGATGACTATTTAATGAAGGCCCAAGCAGAATCCTGAACGCATCCAGGAAATACTGCAAAGGCAATAAAGTGCACATAATGCATCTTTCATGGTTTTGACTTCAAAAAGCAAAAGCCCAGAAAAGGATTTTCACAGCCAAGTTATTTAATCTCAGGCTAATAGCTTAACCAACTGAAAAATAACCAGCTAAAAATTAGTTAATCAAAAACGCTGATTATAGCACATAAAACAGAGGGAGTCTACAACAGCATTTTAAGAGTACTAGCATTTTTCGTACACAGTGACAGGATACCTACCTTTAAAAGATGAAAGGGATCACATTTTTCACGATTTTGCAATGTCTTAATATTCAGCCTAATGGAGCCCATACTGGATAATATAGAGTTTACGAACATTAATAGCCTGGGCTAAAAGACTAAACGCTGATTGATGGATAGTACTATGCTTCCCTTGGATGTTTTCTCCAAACCCTACAAAATATCAGTTTTCCACTTCCACTGTAATAGTCATATCTTGTAAACCCAGTTGAAAGGTACCTATGTAACAAGGAGGTTTTTGATTGTAGTAATTGCATTAAAATATTATTTTTTATTATTATTATTATTATCATTATTACAAGACTATCATATTCCCTTTTCTTACATTTGGCCTGCTTAAAGAAAAGACTTGAAGTATCTGGCTCATTCTCCAAAAAGGTTGCCCACCACTGATTTATGGATCTATAGACTATGTTGATGTTTTCTTATAAATTTTTCTTGAATTTTTGTAAGTGAAGTTGTTTTTATGATCTTATTTACCATGCAGATGTTGTGCAAGGTATAAATGAAGATTATGCAAAATGATAAAACTGGACAGGATTAACAGGGTCGATGACATGTTTTGCAGGCCCTGGGGAAAAACAAAAAGACATGGCCCCCTGTGAGGGAAGCAAGCATAAACTATTTGCAACCATGCCCTTAAGATTTAGCTTTAATTCACTAATTTTCTTGCAATCGTTTAAAACACTTTACTATTTTTAGGCATAATTCGGTTACTTTTAGTTATTTCCATTTTAAAACAGAATCTGTATCTTACGAGGCCCTCTAGACCTCAAGGCCCTGATGCAATTTTCCCTCTGGCCCCCTCTTGATGTCCTGATGATTAAGGATAGATAATCACCATTACAATTTTGTTTAATGCATTGATGAGTCTTGATTTCATGTGTGCAGTAGTCCAAGTTGATTAAATAGGTGAGTTCAAACAACTTTGCTTTATATTTATGTGTCTTTAGCTAAATTTATGTTTTTTTTGTCCAACAGCTAAAAGATATTTGCATAAAATAAAAATGTCAGGCAAGACCTTTAACCTAGTGATAAAAAACTAGCTGCAAAAAATCAACAGTGCATCTCAAAACAGGTATACCAAATTCAATACACTGAGAAAACTGAATCATGGCTTTGCTTTTCTCGACACATGTAAGGATGTTTTGAGGCTTAATTGCAAACAAACAGGATGGCAATACAATGACATTTCGTTCATTTATAGACCGGGCTACAGTGGCGGTAGGTACCACCTCAGGGCGGAGAAATTCAAATGGATATTTTCAGGTAGCTATGGGTCTGGTTACTTGGAAAAGTGATGGTGAACGGGAAATTGTTGGGGTTTAAGGGGTAAATACGGGGGTTAAAGTTCGTCATACTAGCATATTACTTCTGCGGAGGAGCCACTGTTTTGTTTACGACTTCAGATAAATGAAAGTGCTTGTTATCATAAAAAAATGGTCTAGAGGAAGTCTTTTAGAGCCTCTTCTTTAAATTCCGACACATTGCTACAATAAGAGTAGTCACGTGACCAATTTTTACCCCTTACCATATTTGGAAGGTGACCTTTTTTAACAGAATACCTTTGGTTCTTTTTTTGTACCACGTATTCTTTTGTTTGATACTCTTAAATGTGAAAAGATGCAAGTTAAGGCAAAGATACCTGCATTTGTCATTGTTTACCCATTTTAGGTTTCATTTTCACTTTCTTTATCATCTCCGAAGATCACGAAGTAGAAAGATCTGTCAAATTTATGGACCTTTCACCCGATGACTTCCAAATCTTTGCAATGATGTTTGATCGCAATATGTGTAGCCTCAGTGATGATTGACACGGAGGCAAGAGTGAAATGTCTATGGCTTTGCCTTGCCTTAAATACTTCTTGTCAAATAATTTTTTCCTCACATCATTGACATTTTTTGTCGGTATCCATATAAATGGCAAACATATTCTTCAAGGTTAACAAATATTTGCTCATCAAGTTCCCATACCTGCCCAAGTAGCGAAAATATGTTAACAAATCTGTTGTTCTTCTGGACAACCTCCCAACATTCTGATTTCCCTTTGCGGAAGAAAGATGACACATAGTCATTCCCCGTGAATGCATGAAAGCCTATCAGGCACTTCTTCAAACCATCTTCCATCTCAATATCAGACAAAAATAGTCCTTTTCTATTCAAACCAACTTCAAAATCGAGATATACTTGACTTTGCTCTTTAATAATACTTAATAAAATTACCAAGATGTCGATGTCTGAGGATGGAGAGCGTACAACAACTTTTTTCGATGGATGCCGAGTTAAAGCGTTTCTGTTTCCTTGTAAACTCTTTGCAGCAGAGTTCATGGTATTTAAATTCTTTAGCTATGAGATCAACATCTTTAATTTCATAATAAATGTTCTGATCGATATTGGCTTCAGCATCTTCTTTTACGTTAGTTCGGCCTGCTTCGTCGTGATCGTTATTGGTACATGTTTACCCGGTACTTTTGCCTCTTTACCCGGTACTTTTGGCAAAAATTACACACCTGGGGATAAACATCTGGTCTCTGAGTAGCTGCAGTCTTTAGTGTTTGTGGACGCTGAATAGCTTCAGTGCTAGTTTCTGCGAGAAATTTCTCACGGGACAGGATCTTTGTAAACTTTTTATAACAAGGTTCTAAGTGAGCTCCGTGCTTATTTGGATCAACCTCGTCAGGAATGGAGCTGCATTGTTCTTCGTGGAGATTCTTGCCACCAAGTCATAAACGAGTAGCCTTTGCAATTTTATCCTTATTTATGTCAGACAAATCTTTAATATTACTGTACAGACAATCTTTGCTCGGGTAATGAACAATACAGCTTAGGCCTTGCATGTTTAAAAATATAAATTAAACCGGACCTCCTCAATACTTTAAAGGTACACAGAGTATCCAATTTTCAGAGCGAAAATAACAACTTAAATACTGAAAATGACGCTTAGAGCAAAACAATTCTTTCTTGGTAATTATGCACACAGGTCTTTTTGTTCTGCTACGTATTTCCGTGATTTATTGAGTTCATTGCGTTACATATTTGTGTTACTATTTGTACAAATATTTTCAAAGCGATGAATTGCGAAAAAAGTTGCCCAGCATCTGAAGGAGATGTGGAGTCATCACGTCATAACCAAATGCGCATGAAATCAAACGGACCTAATAAATTATCATGTCTTCGCAACCATTATTCTACACATAGTTAAAAACAGTCATAAACTCAAAGTTATTCAAGGTATCTATCAACAACAGCTCGGTTGTAGAAAAATCTTGCTGATTTATACATTATTGTAACATTTAAGAGTATTAAACAAAAGAATTTTCAGGTATTCTGTTAGAAAAGGCTCACCTTCCAAATATGGTAATGGGGTAAAAATTGGTCACGTGACGTCTCTAATTGTAGCAATATGTCGGAATTTAAAGAAGAGGCTCTAAAAGACTCCCTCTAGATTACTTTTTATGATAACAAGCACTTGTCATGCTCTGAAGTCGTAAACAAAACAGTGGCTCCTCCGCAGAGGTAATATGCTAATATGACGAACTTTAACCCCCGTATTTACCCCATAAACCCCAACAATTCCCCGTTCACCATCACTTTTCCAAGTAACCAGACCAATAGCTACCTGAAAATATCCATTTGAATTTCTCCGCCCTGAGGTGGCACCTACCGCCACTGTAGCCTGGTCTATTATCTGCATGCATAGATAGCGTTACAATTGAAAAATATTTCTTCTGTTGACAAGTTTACTAAGAAAGATTCTTGATACTTTTGTGTGTTCAAATAGTCCACTTGTTCAAATAGTTGTGATTTCTGCTCGTCTTATCTAAATGCGATAGCTGAAGTTCAAATCTAAAATACAATCGGTACCAATCTTGGTGTTTGAGTACCTCCGGGAGGTTTCATATATTCATTCGAAGACAGTCTGTTGTTTAATGAACTTACCATTTTCTCCTTCAACTTGAATTAACACCAGCTCACTTTAGCCAAGCCCTGACATTATAACAAACTTCCTGGACTTTACTTGGCGCTGTACTAAATGACAAATCCAATCTGATGTTAGATTTATCGTCGCCCATCAACGCGCCATTTTGATTTCCTAAATGAATGTCAGAATCCGCTGTGCAGGAGGCAGTGAAGATTTTCCTTCGTTGTATTGTCCACCGCAATTTCGCAAAACGCGAAAGAAGCGAAAAGGGAAATTCTGTTTTTTAGATTGTTAACCAAAGTATCAAATCGATAAATTTTTGCTTGAAAACTTGGCATTATCATCGTGAGGGTAAATTTACATGATCTAGTAAAAAAACTTATGGGGCAAAAAAGGCTCACCGAGAGGGGGCATTGAAGGGCCGTAAGGAAAGAGGGGGCTGTTGGTGGTAATTAAACTGTCCCTATTAAAACTATGAATCTCAATTACATAGTAATTTCAAACCATATCCATACCGAGAAAGTTTAACAATTCATGTTCAGATCCAAATAAAAAGCATTTTACGTTTTCTGCATTTGATATGAAGTGTTCGAAGCATCGGGCCAGTTTATCTTCTACATTTATATGTATATACCTATTTTTTATCTCAACTCATAGGAATATCCAGGGTAACAGGGATGTGCCATTATAGTTTTCATGATTATATTAAACATTAGCATTATCATTATTATCCTCAATTAGGCTACTTTAAAAGGGATGTCTGTTGCAAACCTAAACTAAACTCTTTGTTCATGTTAAGTCGTGAATTCAATCTGAGACGTAATAAGTCTGACAAGCAATCATCTTTAGACAGTTTTTCAATATACTTACAAAATCTAAAAGAACAAAAATTTTGTTCAAATCAAGTTAATCAATTTTGTAGTTCTAGTACCTTCATAAGAGCGCTAAATGGGTTCAAAAGATAAGGAAGCTTAGGGAAAACCTCGAAAGTAAAGATGAGGAGATTCGATGGAAGGCAGCAAAGGGACCTGAATCTAGTACCGAGGCCTTTATTAAGGAGTTTTAAGCCCACATTTCAAAAGCAATTTATGATAACGTGGATGGTAGGATCAAAAGCAATTTATCGGTCTGCATATTTAATAAGACACTTAATCACAAATTAATCACATTAATAGAATGATCAAATTAATCACAAAGTATAACATTAATCACAGAAACTGCTTCAAAACAAGTATTTGAATCTTTGACCACGTTTAATCGCATATGTTATTGAGAAGTGCAATATTTAGAATGTCCCTTTCACACTTTTCCAAACGTTTCATGAACACGTTCGAAAATCTGCAAAAGCACTCTCGAGAACATGAACGAAAGAACAACAAACTTTTTTAAGTACCCTGTGGATGGAGCAAAAATTAAGGCCTCATTATGATGCCGGAGTCACTGAAACAACCATTGCTGTTTTTGTTGCCCAAATGCCACTGAAGTTGATCTGACGGAAAACCACGCCTGATGGCAGTCATTTTTCATTCTTTTTTCGTTGAATGCTGTAAGGACGGGTTCATACATCTCCGGCTGTTGCCAGTGGCGTACCCAAGGGGGGGAATGGAGGGGTCCGGACCCCCCCCACTTTTCTAAAATATGGTCCTCGAGATTTGTCCAAAACCGATGTAAAACTCATTGGGGGGGGGGGGGTAGTATACTGTATGCTTGTGTCAATAACAATTGTAAAATGCTTTGCTATTTACCGTAACTAACATGAATCAAATAACGGGGAAAAATTCGCAAAAAGGGCGTTTCCCCGCATTTGCGAGTGTTTGAAGGGCGTGATCCAAACATTTTTCTGGGGGCTACGCCCCAGGCTCTCCCACTTTTACAGCCCTGGGTACGCCACTGGCTGTTGCAGTTGCAACTGTAACATTTATGGGAAATTATTTATATCATATTCTTGCAATTTCCCTAACTAAAGTTTGATAATCAAGTTCTATATTTCCGGAACTTCGGGGTCGGGCTATGTACGTTGCCTAGATCGTCACATTTAAATGACATTTCTTGGGAGACAAGAGGTGTTTCCTCCGGAAAAAGATGTTTTCAACAGAAAAAAAGGGCGTGGTCCAAAGGGCGCAGTCCCTGACATCCTTTTTGTCCCCCCCCCCCACATATCCCAGGCTGGAGCTACCACTGAGTTCTAACGCAATGAAGCAATAAAATTCGGGCAAGATCCATGCTAAGCTCACTACACGTTTTGTTTCCACTAAACCCATTGAAATTGTATCTGAGTAAGAGAAAGTGTCAACCTTCATTGTAACAGTTGTTTTTAGCTCTGAAATCTGTCCATTGAAAAGCAATCAAATGGGATCTGGATTGGTTTTTGCACGAGTTGCCGGTGACGCTTATTACCCTATCCTTATGAAGCTGCTTGATAGTCTTGAAAACGTGTGACAGTAAACCGAGTGTGTCACTGTAAACAGAGCTACTTGGGTCTTAATTTTATCGAATAATTTTGCATAATAGGGTCTAATTTGATCTGATATGATTTGATCTAATTTGACCAGTAGTGCGACATTAAGCGGTATGATTATAAGTGGAGTTGACTATATACTGTTTTTGTGTCTATACACTCGTTTTGCTTTATACACGGTCTCCTTTTAGTGTCTAGACTACGTACTATATACTCTTTCTGGTGGATGATATAGAGTGTATTGTATAAATTCCTGTAGGTTTTCAAGCTTGTGTTTCCAGGTGAAAACTGTCTTATCGATAAGTCTTTTCCAAAATATGGGACTACGCCCCATCGGGGCATTGCTCAAGACATGTTGTTCTGTTGTTGTCATAAATAAGCTGGCATAATTTGGGGCAAAGGGAAGAGCCCTATGGCACTGCTTCCAGGGAGGTTTATAGAATTTACCTCCCCTAGATGGCAAAAACTCCTCGTTTTTGAGATGAAATATTGTTCAAAGCGCCATTTAACAGTACTCAGCCTCAGCTTATTCTTAACTTTTGACCAATTTTTTTTTACTCGTTCTTAACTTTATAAAATTGTTCTTATAAAAAAGAGTGTAAAAGCAATATAATTATGTTTGAGATTAAACATCACCATTTGTTGTATTTTATATGCAGTCGGGTGGTTTCCCCTTAATGATTTTTTATTGCATTAAGGGAAGCTTGGATACCCTCATCTTGAGAAATAGTGATTTTACATCTAGTGTAACAAAATCAATGGGATGCTAGTGTGCAAATCAATGAGATGCTAGACTCCAGGATGGAGAGTTGCCTCACTCATTAAAAACCTTTTTCTTGCTCGTCTCCCTAAGGTTGGGCAAAGACATCGATGAACTTGTGAACACAGTAAGCAAGGGCCTAAGTGGGTACAGCTCAGCTATTGCTTTGTGTTACCAGAATCTAGGGCCACTTTCCCACATTTTCAAATTTTACCAGGACAAGATTTTTCTGGAGGGCAAATATGCAGCCCCCCCCCCCTTCAACAAAAAGTGACGCCCAAGTGTACGTTGGAGGTGTCGTTGTGGCTGGAACTACAAACGACACCGAGCAGGGATGGAACTACAAAGTTGTAATTTTCCTGTTAGGAGCCTTTTGCAAACATCATGACGTCATCATCTAATGTATCTGTCCATTTTGACTAGTTTACTTGTTTTTCGTGGATCGTTGTTTAATCTGAATTTGATGAGTAAAGAAATCTGTCATATAGTTTTTAGCTAGTCCACGATGGCTATTTTGAAATTAATCCTTTTTTGAGTGGGCAGCCACTTAAGTTTCTCAACAGTGGTCCTTAATGCTCATGGCCTGGCAAGTCACAGATCAACCTAGCTGCTCTCTTTTGAAGCATCATCAGGCACTGGTTAATAATTCAGTGCTGCATCTGAAATAGCCGGCTGCTCATTCATCTAACGATAATATAGTTAGCAAATAAATTTAGTACCAGAATGAAAATATAATAGTTTGATGGTTAAAAACACGACATTTCGAGCATGTACCTGTTATCAACCATGTACTCGCATGACTTGATAACCATATGTCTGATCTTCAATATCAAATAAAGATGCAATTTATGAGTAGTGTGTTGCAGGGCTGTAAACATTAAAACTTATTGAGGACAGATAAAGAAAGAAAGATTGCCCAAGTTAGCTGTTGATGTCGTTGTGGCTGATGATGATGGAACACATAAGTCATCTAACTTAGGATTTAATCATAGAGAACCAATTTCAGTCTTTTCCTGTGGTGGATAGTAGCCTATGTCGTCTACAATCCCAGAAAAATCGTTGAGACAAAATGCAATTTTAACAATGCTCTTCCTTATGTTGCCACTGTTAATTCGTATCCCTCTTTTTCCCCGAATCAATGTCTGGTAAGTAGTTCTATATATGTGCTTCGAAAACATGCATTCAATGTTGAATCGGGGGAGGGAAAAAGAATTTTCAAGAGGAAGAAGAAACATCACATGTTTTTTAAAATCTCAGCTATTTTTGTCTCGGAATTGTACGTGGATAGTCAGGCTACTCGAAAAGACGTACGTTCTAATCATCTTAGGCATGGGAGAAGAGGGTGGCTCAAATTGCTTTAATTTGCGGCTCTGATACCCAGGGAAGTGACAGCCCTGCTTATGATTTTTTCATTAGCAATACTGACCTATTCATGTTATGTGGCTGAGTAGAGGCTGGTGCACACAGCTTGCAAATTTCTCAGTAAAAAATTGAGAAATAAGCCAAGACGTGAAGGTGTTCAATAAGTGTAAAACCTTTGTGAATCATGTTTTCTTATGAATAAGAGCCGGTTTTTTCACACAATCTTTGTTGGTCTACATTTACCTAAGCTCTCATCTAAAAAAATTCCATTTATTTCTTTCGTTTTATCTTAATGTACCCGTCGATTTTCCATAGTTGACATTTGCATTGGTATATAAAAGGCTAGAAGACTATTTGTTAATCATGATGGTGTAAAAATAATAACGATATTTATAAAGATTTAGCTTGATGGAAAATTGGAAAAATATTTTCAAGATTTTGAATCCTGTTATTGATGCATTTGAATGCAGCCTGTAATGTGAAGTTTTGTTGACATGATTTCCTTAAATTGTCATTTGATAATGATTAATAACTTCTTAATGTCGCGCAACATTATTGCTTTCTTAACCTCGATCGCAGTCTCTCACTGTCTCTCGATCTCTCGAAGTCTCTTGAAGTCTCTCGCAGTCTCTCGCGGTCTCTCGCGGTCTTTCGCGGTCTCTCGCGGTCTCTCGCGGTTTTTCGCAGTCTCGATCACAAAAGTCGTTCCAATTTTAATGAATGGAGTCACATTTTGTACACAAGCCAGGGGAATGGTGTCGAAGACAGAAGCAGATGTTAGACAGCTGTTTCTATCCACATACTAAATGTTACTTGTTATCTTTCACAAAAAGAGCAGTTTCTATTTGCACGGTCAGAAATTCTGCTGTCTGTGGTATTTTTAAGTGTATATCTATGCGTTGAAATTCTTGGAATGATTAATACTTGATGGTGAATACATAAAGGATTGCCGTGTATTATAAATGCATTTACAAGGATTTAAATCTTGATAACATTTGCTTCTGGTAATCAGGATGGAGTTTAATGGCACAAATCAATCTAAAGCAACTTTTGTCTGCTATGGATTGCAAACGTTTGAGTACAGGCCTACAGTAGCTTACATTTATACGTTACTATTTACGGCCACCTTTAACATTGTAGTTGGTACTATTTCGACCATGGCTAACTCGCTGGTGATTTTTGTAATTTTGAAGGACAAGCAGCTTCGTACCAAAACGAACCAATTGCTGATGTTGCTAGCCGTCACTGACGTTCTTGTTGGGGCAGTCACCATACCGTTATCAGTTACAAACCGTATAACAGCGATGCATGAAATACACTTATGCAGTTTACACGCGTGGCATTCGTTCTTTGCATACCTATTGTGCGTCTGGTCGGTAGCTGGCGTTTGCGCCATCAGTGTTGATCGATACGTCGCCACCAACCACGCCGTAATGTTTAGAAGGGCATCATATCATCGCAAGAAGAAGAAAATGCTGCTCTCCTTCTGGGTACTTTGGCTGTTTTTTATTCCCTTGCCGTATCTTAAACTGGTTAGTTTCAAAATTTACAATATGTTAGTTTCTGGTATAATTAGTGTTTCACTTGTAGTGGTCTGCTCGTGTTATTTCAAAGTCATCCAAAAGTTGAAGTCGAATGCTAAGAAACAGCAAGAAAACCAGGATTCTTCGATACCAAGAACATTTACCCGGCAAGCATCACATTTTGTTGTCAAAAAGACGATTACGATTTCGGCTCTAGTTACACTGGCGTTTTTCATATCTTTATCTCCGAGATTCGTCATGATTCTTGTCCTAGCTATCATTGGAAGGGACTTCAACAAGGTTGCTATATCAGGGATGTATACCGAGTCTTTTGTGTACTTAAACAGTGCTGTTAATCCAATTATTTATTTGTGGAGGCTACCGGACGTTAGAAGAGCAGTTTTTCATATTTTTCAACGAGTACGTCATTGAAGGTGAGTTCGGAATTCTGAGGAAGAAGAGAAATGGTATACAGTAGGTATAGTGCCCTGGATCTTGCTTTTACATACGTTTGATCTTTTGACCCTCGATGTTAGCTGTATATAAAGGTCAAGCAACTGTATCTACTGTATTGTGGCTTCCTTAGACAAAACTTGTGAGGGCAATCGTTTACGTCGCGTGATTGGTGACATCCAATTCAACGGATAGTTTGCGGGAAGAGTCGAGACAGGCAACGAGCAAAAATGAACGAGTAATGACTGAAAACGCCTAAAACTATTAGATAGAATTACGCTTTGCTTTTGGAATATATGTATCTATGTAAATTTAACTGAAATGATGATTCGCTACAGATGTATATAAAATGGAACAATCGCTGTATTCATTCGCATTTATCTTTGATATCATTTCGTAAACAAGAAGCAGAAGCCCACAACTTGCATCCAGTGGCGGTTTTTGGGACTAGGGGCCCGGGACCACAAACATCTGCGGGGCCCTTGTTCTTTACAATTTCCATCTTTTCCATCTTTACAATTTCCATCTTTTCACGGGGCCTGGGGCCATGGCCCCCCTGGATTCCCCCTTAAAACCGCCACTGCTTGCATCGGGAGAAAGACCAATTCATCTAATATTCAAAATTTCTTCTAATTCTAGTTTGGATGTTATTTCTAACATCTATTCTATTCATATGCGCCGTGTTAGTAAGCATAGTTATGTCGTGTTGCTGCAACTGCTTATGCTTCAGCAGCGTTGAATACTGTCAGCGCTGAGCAAGGCAGATGCTCTCAAGCAAAGATGCAAAGCTAGCTACAAAACGAGAGTCGAGCCCCACCTTCCGTCATAGCCTGCGTGCAAACTTCACTTTCCGTTGCGAAGGACACAACGGAAAGTAAAGTCTGCACGCAGGCTACTTCCTTCACTTCGAAAGACAAACTTTGATGTTTGAAGACATTTTAAATGTTTGTGAGCTCAAACCTCGAAAGCTTTCTTTCAAGTACCGTATTTCCTCCAAAGAATGCCGCGTCGTTTATTACAAACTCCAAATTTTGGATGCGGCGTTCAATAGAGGGCGGTGTTCATCAGAGGGCGGCGTTTTTTCCAAATGGTTGGCTGAAGGTGCGGCGTTCAATAGAGGGCGGCGTTTATTAGAGAAAATACGGTAGGTGTTATTTTGAATTAGCATTTTTCTGTTGGATGGAATTCGATACAATTTCTGCGTACAAAAATCAATGTGCGCTAAACCAGCCTTGGTTTTTTTGATAGGGGATTTTTTAACCCAGCCAGGTGTAGTTAAGGTTGTACAAAGAAATGTTTTAATAAGTCTGAAGGTTTGGAAAATATTTTGGAAAAGATATCATTATAGAGGTGTCGGACGGAATAAATAGCATTATAACTGTTGGCAAAAACTACGGTGATTAAAATTGTATTTAAAGTTCTTGACTTAATAGCTTAAACTCATAAGATTATCAAATAATGAGATACATTTAACGTTTAAAGCACTTATTCCAAATGGGAAAAGTTGAATGCTTAGCTATAATCGAACCTAAAGTTTATAGATTTAATCTGTTGGACGGAACTGTTAGACGGACAAAATGCAACTTTTTAAACAAAATTCTTAAAATTGCTAGTTAATAGTTCATGGTGAAGCTAGTTGAAAACTTAAATACGTTCTCGAGACAAACTGAGTAGCAAATGTACAAAGCATGATTTATTTTGCGTTGAACAAAAGGATTCCGTCCAATAGAAAATCAAATGCAACCTTTCTGAATCAAACGTCTGAACAAAGTAGAGTAGAAGGCCCATCTGTTGGATGGAATCCTTTGTCATGCTAGGTAGTATTATTGATAACTGAGCAACAATTTCTTTCATAATGGTTGATTATTTTTAGAAATCGACTTTACTGTTCTTGGATCCATGCTTTGAAATAGATAATAGAAAACAAAATTTTTTTAGCTATCTTTATTTCTTATCTTCAGTGAAGGAAAATTCCAAAAACAAATCTTAAGAAATTCTCATTGCCAAAATTCTTCATAAAGTGCAAGAAAGTAATTTTTTGAAATTTTTAAATAGAAAACAAGCTACGAACTCCTTCTTTCCAGTCAGCTGACAAGCCGACTTTTGGTAAGCTTTGCTCAACCACCTGTTCAGTGTTGGCTTCATGTCTGTTCTGCTCGCTTTGACAACTGGGTGTGAGCTTTTTTTGGTAAGTGGTAGCGGCAGATGGTCCTTTTAAAGTAAGTTACAACTTGATGTGTCAATCTTTGATCTGCGATCTAGTGAAAAAGGGTTTATGCAAACCTAAAGCTATTGCAGTGACAGCCATAATGGCTTTCATCAAGCTTCACACAAAGTGCGATCATATTTTGGAGAATGGCAGATTTGCACGAAACTATTTGCATTAAAATCTTTTCGCGCAGAAAGTTGCAAATGTTAAGCAGTTGAAAGAAAATTTAAGGTCAGAGACCCTGGATTTTGAATCCTTTTCACGTTTCTGTGTTAAATTATGAATTATTTTTCTCGTTTCTTTATCAATTAGCAAGTTATGGCGTGCGTCAGAACAGCTGTATTAGCGGGCTATGAAGCAAGTTACGTTCAACTCGGTAAAAAACTCTGTAAACAACTTTGTACATAGAATATATTTTGAACTGAAAAAATTATTATTTTTTTGTATAGTTTGGCATTTAACTTTGCTTATCTGGGGGAGGGGGTGTAGAGGGGTATTTGAGGTTCAGATATCCTAGTATCCTGCCCTATAATAGGCCCCCACTAAGCTGGGTTAAAAATGTATCCAGGCCGAGAATGTATCTTCAGCCTTTACTTCTTCAGGTGAATATGGTTTAGAGAATTAAGAAGATAACTAGTACGGCGACAAAGAGAGACATTTTTCTTAGTCTCCCTTCACGTCCTGATTGCTTCTATCACGTACAAATAGGTCGCTTGATTTACGAACCGTAATGTTTTATCTTTCCATACATTTTTACTTTACTGAAGACGACTTTAGCTAGAGTCGAAACATGTTGATTGATTTTTGTCTACTGATTATATCAATCTGATTTCGTCACACCTGGAATGTCTCACTGAATTTTTAAATCTTAGAATGGTATAGCCGTTCAATTTCCGAACTCTCTCAAAGCGAATATACTCATGGGCGTTCGGTAAGCAATGGTGAACTCCCGGTGGGTCCACTCTTATTGTCAAGTGTAAGCACCCGTGTTTTCAAAATCTCTGAGAAAGGGGCTCAATCTTATCACATACACTCTTTTTTTCATAAGAACAATTTTATAAGAACACGAGCCTCAAAACTGGTCAAAAGTTAAGAAAAAATGAAGAACAAGCTGAGGCTGGGCTTCTGCAAAATGCAATTTTGAACAACGTTTTTTCTCAAAATCGAGGATTTTTAGCGATGTGTGGGTGCTTTTTCGGTGAATATTCAAGTTTGTCAGCAAATTAAGGCTGTCTCACTCACTTTGTTAGCAAATGAGGCCTGAAAACCACCTTAGAGCGAAAAAGCTAGCAATAGCACTGCTTACACCCTCTTAATTTAAGAACAAATTAAGAACAATCCAGCCTCAGATTTTCGAAAAAATTAAGAACAGTCAGCCTGAACTTAAATTTACTGGTTCTTATAAAAAAAGAATCTAGGAGATAGCAAATAGAAAAAAGGTTGTATGTTATGGGAAACTTAATATAGTTTCTAATTTTTCTTCGTTTGGCCTTATTTCAACTACCTGATTTCAGGAAAAAGGGTATAAATTTTCTTTGGCTTCAAAGAAATAGGGGAATCAAATTGGAATCAAATTGCAGAGGTAAGGATCAGTGTTCTAGATCCTCAGACACGGCTGCTTACACTTGATAGTGTGAGGTGACCCACTGGGGGTGAGCTACCAAGAGATGCTTTGATGCTTTCACAGCCCGGGCTCTACCCTGGGTTCCAGAGCACCAACAATGAGAGCGCCAAGGGCTTTAAACGGATTATCAATATTGAACAGTCCATAACTGTGGCGTAGGCACTGATCTAGAAAAAAGACGTCTTTCTTCTAGATCAGTGGGCGCAGGCAAGTTTGCATGTTGCCAGTTATAGAGAGAGATACATTGCTCCCTGCAAGCACTTTGCTGCAAGCAAAAAGGAAATCGCTGGGACACAATTTGGAGGGGGGGGGGGGGGTAATGGGCTCAAGACAAGTTGGCAAACTTTTATGGTAGCTTGCCATCATTATATTTGGTGCCACAACTTTGATAACATACTTTAACAAGAAAGTTGAGGGGGGCTACAGCCCTCCAGCTCTCCAGCTCCGTTATGGGGGAAACTGGTTATTAAATGAACAGGGAAGGATGCTACAACTAATTTATTGCTAAGTTTTGGTTCATTGGTTTGTATTCATTGGTAGTGGATTGCTTTTCGTCGCTTGTGCTGTAGCTATAGATCTTGATCTCCTCATTAAGATTCCACGTTTATCTTATCTGTATTAGCATAGTAATACTCTTTAAGACCAATTAATACTATCAATGTAGGTTAACAAAAACGACAAAAAGTCCCTTTTCATAGTTTTAGTACCATTGTTGAAGAGATTACGACATACTCTGACAGAATCAGAGTGTAGTTGTGACTCGGCGGTAACCAAGATGTAATCCAGTAGAAAATAATTATGCTTAAATATATACGCTAAAGCTGCAAAACAGACGTTTTCCTTTTGCACTTCTGATCCACAATGCAAACTACTCAACAACCACGGCAGTCCCTTCTTAAAGGTTTGATAGTCAATTGCATGTTAAAATGAATTTTCGATGTCAAAAGACGATTTTGCTTTGCCCATTTTTAATAAGATATCCATAGAAGGACATGTGGGTAATTAGACGTCACGTGACAAATTAAAGCTCATTTTACTACTTTAAATGTATTTCTACCAAAGAAGATAAACTATCCTTCATATCCCACTGCTTAGACAATATTTATCTTGTTAAAAACGTAATTTCAGCGACGTTTCTCCTCCGCAGAGAATAAGCAGGAACTGCTTTTGATTTAACCCCCATTTTACCCGCAAAACAGCGGCAAATCCCTGTTTATCATCACAATTCAATATCACCAGTTGATAACGAACTCGAAACTGGTAATCATAATTTCCCTGCCCCAAAGTGGTACTCCCCGCCTTTTACGTCTGGTCTAAAAGTTTATCATCACTTTCACGGTCAAAGTAGATCAAATTTTGTGGATCATTGGCATGTTCCACGTCAGAATCCGTGATGTTCGCAAATGGATTTGTGCTGCCGATAAATGATGGACCCCTCAGCAAATTCATTTGTTCTGTTACAGGGGCGTTTAGTAGAAGGGGGGTGTTAAAAGGGGTGGACGTTAATTAACCTTTTTCATATTTAGAATGGGCGTTAATTAGGAAGGGGCGTTAAATAAATCAAATACGGTATTGCTAGACTCTTTCTTACAGTGCTGTTTATTTTTCACATTGATTAACATTGATTGGAAAATTTGATTGTGGAACCTTCAGAACCTAATCTTTTCGTTAGACTTTCATCGATGTTATCAATTCAAAAAAATAACTTGAAAACAATAAAATATCTTAGTTGATGCTAATTACAAACGATATCATCATGAAAAGCAGATTAGAGGAATACCCGAACAGTTACCCTAGGAGAGCATTTTGTTACCATAGATTTGCTACCAGGATTTTACTAAATCCATTTTAGCGAAAGAAAATAAACATGAAAAGGCCAAAAAGTTTTGCAAAAAGTATTCCCTTTGTAAAAAGAAAGAATGCTATGTGTACTGGGAACCTCTTCGCGAAACTTTCCATAAAGTGAAGTAATTTAGGAGATTTGGGCATAGTGACTTACTTACACAACACGGTGCTATCCTAGTGAGGGGGTAATCCTCTACAACAATAGAACGAAACCCATACAAAGCCCGCACCACAAGGCCCTCACTTTTCTTGCTTACTATAGGTATTGAATCCCATTTTAAGTATTAAATAGGTAACCCCATATTTTGCCCCCCCCCCCGATTTAGAAACGGTGGCATGGGCCCGCCCTGCCATACTTTGGCTGGCATTATTTTAGCTCTATTACAGTTGTAGAAAAGCTGCCTTTTCTCTGTGACCAGCTTACAATGCGCTGATTCAATCCTTTTGTCTACTTGACTCCACTCCAATAAGGTGAATGACTGCTTTACAGAATTTAGGAACAAGGGCACAGCATGACAACCATAGAGAACACCCCCCAATGGGACTGATGACAACAATAGTATGGCATGGCATGGAATGTTGATTGCAAAATCACCAGCAAAAGAACTCCAAAACAACTGGCAACTGAACATCGCGTATCCAAAAACACATAAAACTAGTTCTATAACACAAGGAAAGTGGAATTATGGCGTATCTCGTCTCCTTTCTCTTTACGTTTGAATTCCTCGCGGCAGTTCTGACGATTTTGACAATTTGGAAACTTATTTTGTGGTGGAAAAATCCGTTGAATGCAATCCCAGGACCTGTTGGACTCCCCTTGCTAGGAAACACATTAGATTTTTTGAACGGAAAAGATCGGGTAAAATTGGCAGTAAGCAGAACAAAGAAATACGGGACACTTTACAAAGAGTATCATGTTTTACGTAAGTTTCAGTAGATAAGATTTTCTCGATTTTTGATGCATTATTCATTTTTTCTTTTTACCATTTTCAAATCAAAATTATACCTGACGTGTCGAAATTTCAAACTCAAAACAAAAATAAAGCTGAAAGTTGAATGTATATTCGGCAATTATTTTTTATCGATTTTCACTTATTTTCGATTTTCAAGTTATTAGCGAGCGCTTTGCGTTGATATTTATCAAATTCAACCCACAATAATAGGCCTGATTAATACCATAGGCCCCATATCAGACGGATGCGGACACGGAAATGAAGAATCCGGAGAGTTACCATGTTTTGCTAGATGCCTGATCCTAGGCGAAAACTCCTCGACGTGTATGATACAAGGTTAATCGGATTATCCCAACCAGATTTTTCACCTTCGCCCTTAATCATTTATCATAGCAGTTTTCGGCGAGATGGGGAGGACGACCGCCCCCTCGCCCCTCCAAGTGTCAGCCAGCGCATTGGAGTGTCCAAATTTTCCAGTAGTCCAGAGGCATTGCCACCTGAGAAGAGACTTTGCCAGACCAACAATTTCTATGATTTGTAATTTGTCTTGCAACGTTCTAAAGTGCTTCTAAGGGCAAAAATAGCTTCAATTTAAAAGATCCACTTTACCAATCTGGATTCAATTCTTTTTTTCGGAATTGCTATACCGCGTCTCGTTTTATTGCTATTGCCGTTAAAAGTTTGATCCCATTATTATGTCACAGGTGTTTCCACACGCAATGCATTCTGGTAGTTGTAGTTACGCGCCCCGTTGCTACTGTGTATGTTCACTGTGTTTCTTACTGCTTCTGCTTCGTTGTGTTTTTTAGGCCCACTCTCTGTATCAACAGACCTAATAACACTTCCAATGTCGTTTAAAAGAGACAACGGAAGTCAGTGGAAATGGCCAGGGCCCCAAACTACTGGGGAAATTCTTTGATTTTGGCTCGCGCTACTGGGAAAGGCATTGGGCCTATTAGGGAATTGGGGAATTGTCTATAGAGAAAGTTCATTCATGAAGCCAGTGTAAGATACTATAAACAGACGAGACTGGTATCGAGTTTTCGCTAAAACAACTATCTTAGAATAAAAGCAATATAAAGCGGTGACAGATATGAGGTACAGCAAGCAAGCGTTGTACAGGGATGACTGACGGGAGGCACTACTACACCAGCTCACTTTTCGCCCACTGTGAGCTCTAAGCATGATCATAATCGTTTCTGTGTGGCTAGACCAAATCAAATCACCGGAGCAGACAGTTTGTTATGGGGCAGCTTTCTAACTCTGGCTCAAAACATGTTGAAATAAACGCTTTTTTCCAGGTTGTATTAGGTCTAAACATTCCTCGTCATGAACTTTGCTTTCGCCTAATACAATACTCCCTTTTGCTCCATTCCATCGCTAGCTAGATGGGCTGTTATCGCGCTGGTTCATTAGGCCTATTGTATTTTCATGCTCCATGAGCAACTACTGATACTTTTTCCTCATGAAGATCTTTGGTAAAATTTTGGGTGAGAAGTAGTGTAATTCGAAGATTTCATATTGAACACTAACGTCGTACACTACAGTTAGTTTGATAGGTATGGTCATGTCAATTTTCATTTCCATTTTCTTAAAAAAATGTGCAGTGATAAAAGATTCTTAAATAAACCCTGCTTGCATATAGTTATTGCATTTCAGGTGGCACTGTTGTTTATATCTCTGATCCTGTGCTGATTAAAAAAGTCCTTGTTAATGAGCCAACAGGCTTCACAAGGAGCCCATATGCGAAAAAGATGTGTCCATTGTTTGGAAACGGTGTGTTCACAAGCCTTGGAAAAGAACATGCAATGCAGCGTAAGAGTTTGAACCCATATTTCTCGACAGTAAATGTCCAAGAGTATTTACCAATATTCGTGAAAAAGACCAAGGAGCTCGCTGAAGTACGTAATATTCATGTTTCAATGAAGCATTACTTAAGCATTGTTTCATTTTTACATTTAGTTATGTTGTGAAGTTAGACAAAGGACAGTGACTGAATAGTTTACAGTTCTTTTTTGAGATGATCCAATAAGGCCGTCGAAGTGGGGGGCTAGGGTTGAGGAAGGGTGCTGGAGCCCCCTAATAACTGTTAAACTGTACTTTTTTTTAAATTGTGTACTTTAAGGGCAGCTCCCCCCCCCATATGAATTTCGATCCGACGACTCTGTCAAATCTGATTTTATTGGCCAGGGGGCTCTTGCGCAAAATGTTTTTAAAAACAATAACAAAAGTATAAATTGGCTACTTTTCTACACTTACAAGATGGGCTCTGCCCCAAGAGTCCCCCTAGCTATATACCCTTGCGTTTGGCACTCACCTAGCAAAAGCCCTGTGGCCACATACTTCTTCCTTTTCATGGCTTGTAGCTATTGAATGTTGGAAGAAAGGGACTCTGGATAAAGTCTGCCTATCGGATACTTTGAACCTTGCAATGAAAATTTGGTAAATAAACGATAGACACGCAAATAATTGTAGATCAAATCCAATTTTAAAAAGTTTAAATAGACAGCGAGAGAAATTTAAAAAATTGTATGTGGCCATTGCCTTTAAACAGAATTATCCGTTCGTTGTTTGAATAGTTAAGAATTTACTCTTCTATCTTATCTTCTGTGGTTTTTTTTTCTTTTTGTGCAGTTCTGGTCACAAAAACTGGCTCAAAATAAAAATCTACCATTTGAAACAGAAATAATGGAAAAGTTTATACATTTGACTCTTGATATCATTAGCCTGGCGGCCTTTGGATATGACTTTGATTGCGTTTCAAATGGACATTCTGAAGAGAGTTCATCATTCAACAAGATAATGTGTGGCAACTTCAATGTTGTTAGGAAGTCGCTGGAAACGTTGATACCTTTTCTAAAATTGATTCCTTCAAAGGAGCGTGACGAAGAAGATAAAGCAGAGAAAGTTTGTTGGAATGTTTTAGAAAGGGTAAGCATTATCAAAATGCCATTTCGGTAGTTTCATGTGTTTGCGTTGCTTTATTTTGTAGAACGGCACGACCTTTAGTTGCAACTCAACTTCACCCTCAACTTGGAAGAGCAGCTACAGCAATAAAATGAAGTATAGTTTTTGTCCAACTATCCGGCCGTTTTCTATGAAAAATCCGATAATTCCGGTTCCGGCCGGGTTCTAAAAATCCTAATCCGGTAAAATACTTCGATGCAGTGTGATTTGCTACATGGTTTGCCACATTAATAATTGTTTTGGAGTGCGTGCATGCCACTATAGAATATTTGTATTTAGGTACTCATTGCAATATAAAGCAAAATCAAATTCAACACTCTCCTATAATATATTTATGACAGTTTGATCAGTTTTGCTATACATGAAAAATGTCATTTTTAGATTATAGAGCAAAAGAAGTCAGAAGTAAACCCTAACAGCTCTGATGCTCCGATGAAAAAGAACTTACTTGACAAGATGATCGAGTTATCAAACTCGGGTTGCAGCTCTTTTACTAGCAGAGACCTTCTGCATCATGTTTTTACTTTCATGATTGGCGGACACGAGACCACAAGTACTACTTTGACATGGATGGTTTTCCTTTTTGCAAAGCATCCAGAAGTACAAGAGAAGGCCAAGGAAGAAGTAAGAAAGGTTTTGGGGAATAAGCAAGATATCACTATGTCTGATATTAGTGAGCTTGCCTATTTGAGCAACTGTATCAATGAATGCATGCGGTTATACCCAGTTGGAGCAGGATTTGGGCGGTTGGCAGCAAAAGAGTGCAAACTGGGGCAGTATACCATACCTGCTAATACCTGTATGATGATATCCCTAGCAAGCTTGCACCATAATGAGAAGTATTGGAAAAATCCTGAGGATTTCAACCCAAGTAGATTCGATAAAGCAGGTCAGGCTTTAGACGTAATACAAGGTTGTATAAGGCTTTTATAGTTGCCAAGTCCCACGGATCTGCCGTGAGACTCAAGGACGGAGCTGTGGCCCTCTTGATAATTTATCTCGATTTTTTTGTTTTAGCATGCTTAATTTTGAGTCAGACCATTAATTAAAGTGTATTATGGGTATCTATTTCCAATATAGCCATCATTGATCCAATGTTACGAGATAATGCATTTATTTCATTGATTTCTAGGGGAAACTTTATCAACATAGTATATGGCCAAATGTTTTTTTCCAAAAAAATTGAAATCAATGTCAGGGGTAGGTGGCCCTGTTTTCGTGGCCACTTTGTTAAAAGTATATAGCACAGAAATAATGCAAAATCGGCATGGTCTGAAAGCTGTTTCTTCTGAACACACCTGTTACTTCTCTTCTTTCTCCTCTGACAATTCTTGATCCGCTCGAAGCTGAATGAGGGAGGGATATCTCAAAGTATCATTTCATTTGAAGATTAGTTTTCATTCATCAAAATGAGTACTTGGGGAAAAATCCTTTCAGTCAGATTAGAGGATTAACGTTCTATTCTCTCTTAGGCAAAGATGATCCGCTGTTTCCCTACTACTTCCTGCCCTTTTCACGTGGGTATCGAATGTGCATTGGATACAGATTTGCCTTGATGGAAATGAAAGTTGTATTGGCAACTCTTCTTCAGAGGTTTTCATTCAAACTTGGAAAAAATCAAAGTACAGAATTGAAAAAACAATATGGCATGGTAATGAAGCCGAATCCAGCGCCGGTAATTGAAATTCAAGGTGCTTGAGGGACTTTCAACTCAAACTGTTTCACAGTATAGTATTCAGCAAGAGGTAGGGTAGCGCTGAACATAGGTGTGGAGTTGAGATGGACCAGGGAGTCATGGTCTCGTTTGAGTTGAAATTCCTTTAGATTTCATAGCTGGTTGTTTCTTTATAGATTTGTTTTTTACTGATATACTTTGAATTAAAGTAAAGTTATCCTCTATTAAGAATTTCACAAAATGCATTTTTAACCGTTCTTTAATTTTTATCTAGATAATTGCAACTATCTAGATATTGTATCAATATGTTATTGAATTTTGTATTCAGGTGGACATCACTGCCTAAAATCAGAACATAGGTCAGCGACAACTGTTTTTTGATGCCATTATTTAGAATCGGCAGAAAAGTCTCTAAAGTCTCTGTACTTTAAATCTCTAAATTTATTTGCTTTTATAATACATCCAAAATGCTTCACATGTGTAAAAATACTTGTTATTGAATAATCATAAAAATGATAGAGACGGTTTCGAAAGGTCGACCTGTCATACGAAGTCTCCCTTCCCTATCTTTTGATTAGTTTATTCTAATCGTAACAATTTATAACCAATTTGTCAAAAATGATCGCATTTATAAGCGATCAATATCGCTCGATAATCAATACTTCGAAAGCAGCAACATCATGCATATTGCCCTTCATGTCTTGCATCTTGTCGTCTGCAATCGTTCTCATATCTGCATTTGGTTATTCATTTAAAATTACGTAAGATTGTAAGTGCCTGTCATAGTCCAAAACCTTGTATCTTTTTCCGTTATGACTGGCACAGCTGGGGTGTTTCTTCTGTTGTTTTTTTAGATTTTTAGATTTGAATGTTGGGTTTCATAATTACAGCACTATCATAAGAAACTATTCCTTATAATTCTATTCCTAATAATTTACACATTTAATATTATGACTTTGCTTCACTAATTATGTTAAAGCTTCACCAGTTCTCACAACCCAAATCTTATATACGCTGCCTCTATGTCTCGTTCAGCTCATCTACATTAATCTAATACAGTTATACTATACATAATTGCACTGGACACGCAGTGCATTTTGGATCTCTTACGCTAAAGATAAGGGCTTGTCGTTTGCTTACCGCCAGAAAGAGGCGTGTATGTTTGTTCATCTTTGCACCTTGGCCCTAGTTCCATGTATACGGCATTGTTGTTGCTTCCATTGTTTACAGCCTCCCTTTGGGATGAATCTGCAGTTGTTGCACGTGATTGTTGGTCACTTTCAAATTGGAGGTTTGTATATCCAATGACTTCATAATCAAGATCCTGACGGGGGCTGTAGAGTTGAAATAATTACATAATTGCCTTAACGTGCAAAGACTTGAAGGCTAAGTACCAAATACGAATCACATACAAATAATATTCGTTATAAGAGGTGAAGGGAAGATGATGTCACCAAAACATAATATGTATCATCATAGATGTCATTTACGTAGAAGCTTGAAGCTTCAATCCCCCAATCGCCCAAGAAATTTTTGAGAGGAGGCACAGTCATTCCTTACAGCTTTTTAATATAGCCAAAAAGCAGTAGATTTCTTCTAGTGGTCTGGATTTTGTATCAGAAGGACATTTTTGGTCCGTGGCAGCGTCAATAATTTTCCGTTAACATTTGGCAATTATCAGGCAATTATTACAAACACCAGGGCCTACGCTACGAATTTGAAAGTGGGGGGCCAAGGGCAGCAAAAGTGGAGAGCCATGCCCCCTGGCGCCGTGGGCCCTGAACATTAACCGTCAAACCTTCAACCATGAAAATCAGCGTCTGTTTTCCTCTTTGGGAAGGAGCAAGTCAAGTCAATTTCCGTTAATTTACCTTTGTGTGTTGCCTTTTGAATGATCATCTGAAACAAATTAATAGTGCACTAAATGAATATGGTTTTGTTCCGAAGTAGTGGAAGAGTTCTAAGCCGTTAAAAATGCAGCCTTTTTGTAATTGCAACAAGGGAAATGCAATGCCCAATGTTTCGTAATAGAGATGAACTGCTAAGTATGGAAGGCTTCAATCTTCAAGTACTAAGCGGCCCCTAAGCAATATCAATACGTAAATCGTTCAAAAGGCGAGGGTCGAAATTTCGCCTGGATTCGATCCCGCGACTTTCAGCACAGCTCTTCTTTGCGATCAAATGCCCTAAGTAGCTGATATTATATCTTAAGCAGCCATTTCAATTTTTATCCATCGATGACTGTACATCAACCAACTAAAGATGGTTGCAAGATAGTTGCAAGTAAACTGTACGTTTCTCATATAAAAGATTTATCACATAAATATGTCATTCACAATTAAGACCTTTTTCATAGAGGAGAAAATAAATGTTTTCCTCATTCCAAGGGGTGTTATTGGAAAATTTTTGGATAACCCATCCTTCTTATCATCTGACAAACATTAACAATCAAAGCCTCATTTAGAAGAATAGAACAAGAATCTTAAAGAGAAAAACAATACAAAAACAAACACTTTAAAGGCTGAGTTTTTTTGCTTTTTACCTTGTAATAACTTTATACGCTTTCTCAGTGCTATATTCCACATGGTTAGCAAGAAGATTATTGGAATGCTGAAAGCCAGAACTGCGTATAAACCCATGGCATGAGCATTCGATTGTGTAGAATTTGTTCTCTCTGAGGCAGTTGCAGTTGATTTGCCTTGGAAATAAAGAGCTAGTATAGTATTCGATAATTACATTGTCCATTCAATATATTATTATGTATATAGAAAATATAGCATAAAAAGGATGCATATTATCCTCGACCATGCTTTTTGTGAGTATGTTTAGCCTAAATAGAATTAGCTTCAGATTCAGAAACTAACTGAATGGAAACTTTAAAGGTTTTATGAGTATTCATTAATCATAGATTTTGGTAAAATTTGGAACATGCTGTAAAAGAAAATATATAAGTTTTAATAGGCTGAAACCCTAAAAATTTGTCCAGGGTGGTGCCAGCACTGAAATCGCTGCGACTTGCACTTTCACGCTACGGGCTTTAGAAAACAAGGCCATAAAAATTACAGTGAGCAAATTGTACACGCTAAGATAAGATAATTGAGTTTCATTATTTAAGTTAAAATCAAAACCTGTTCTCTGTGATGATTGAAGCCCAGCATGCTCTCTATCATTTCCATCCACAATAACAACTTGCACTTCATATTCTGTGTTGCTTTCCAGTTTGTCAATAGTAGCTTTGGTGTCGCTACTTCGTACATCTTTTGTTTTCCATGTCAATTCGCCTTTCTTCTTATACTTAATCCTGATTGCTTTTATGCCACTAGCTCCTGTGCACACGGGCAAACGCCATGTCACTTCGATGCTGCTGTCAGAACCTTGTTTTAGTTTAACATCTGTGAGAGCATCAGGAGCATCTAAAATATAGCAAGTCAATTTATTTATTTAACCATTTCTCAATGCGTTTTAGCAACGTGCTAATAGAACTAGAATCTCTTGACGATACCAAACAATCGATTGAACAGTATTGGAACCCATTGAAGTCACAGGTTTTCTACCCTAAACACCAAGATCATGCTTTAGAAAATACTTTCAACTAAATACGTTTTGTTTATAATCAAGGCATTAAAAGTGAAAGGAATAAAACTTCAGTGAAATAAAACAATTTAATTTTAGCTCTAAATCTTTCGAGACAGGAAAGCTTTTCCAGTTTCGTTCTCTTGCAAAACAAGGGGATTGACTCTTTGATCTATTTTAGTAATTGCCTCTACAAAAAATTTTTTATTTCGTCTTTGTATTTTACATCGATATTTCACTTAAATGCAGTAGGTTTCTTTAACGCTGTGCTACATTTCTCTAGTATATTTTACTTCTTTTATTAAGCTTAAAAAACTTGTATGCATCAGCATTTGAAATAATGATATTGAAATGAGTTGAAATGATGAAAAGAGAACACTGGCAAAAACCCGGGGTTTAAGATATGAACCAGTTGCCAGCCAGCTTTTTTTATGAAGGTCAGAGCATCGTATCGTAAACTGTGTAAACATTCATCACTGCCTAAACACTTCTTAAATTTTTGATTGTGCATCACTCCTGTGATGAGTATTTTTTCACATCAAGAAAGATTGACTTTCTCTAAACACGATTTCATTAGTTTACATAAAGTTTTGATGATATTCTTAGTTAATAAACCTTAGAAGTTAGAATAATCTAACAGTTGATTCGCCATGCTCTACGGCATACTGGCCTAGACTGCTCTGTAATATGATCTGTCACTGCCTTACACCAAGAACATTTAACAAAGAAACATTTTTGAAACTATTGCATCTAATAAGAATACCTTTTTTAACCAAGGTTCTAGTTATGTTCACTTCCTTGACGGTATTGTTTGCCAAGCATGTGTATACTCCGAAGGTACTGTCTGCCAAGTCAGTTATTATATGAGTAACTTGTCCATGTCCTCTTGTCTTCTCAGTATTTGAAAACATTATTCTAACTGTTGGTACAGGAAAGCCATCTGCAACGCATCTAACGATTACTGTCCGTGGTCTACAGGTAGTTATGCTATTGCTGTGGCTCGTGAATTCAGGTCCATCTGCAGAAAGGCATGATCTTCCTATTAACCAATTTTTATGGGAAATAGTAACAATAGGATGATTAAGAAATGTATGGCGCGCATATACCGCCAAAAATAGCTCTTTCTAAAATTTCACCAACTTTCTTAAAGTTTCTAAAATCTTCTAAAAGTTCAGTTGCTCTGTCTAGTCTTAAAATTTCTGTCATTTCCAAAGTTTCAACCACCGTTCAACATTTTCTAAAATTTCAATTACTTAAGCAACGTTTCTAAAATTCCAATCGCTTGCTCTGCAAGATTTCTAAAATTTCAGTCATGCTAGGTTAGTTCTAATATTGCAACCATTTCATGGCAAAGTTCAGGAAGAGGTTATCAACATTCACCATTGAAATTTTGGAAAAGCCACTGAAACTTTAGAGTGATTGAAATTTTAGAAAATGTTGAGCGGGGGCTCAAACTTTAGAAATGGTTTACTTACAATAGACAGTGAGAGAAACAGTCTTCGTAGCGGTCGATCCAACACCGTTTGAAGCTTCACATGTGTATGTTCCATTTTGCCCCCTCCTGACAGACGACATAACAAGCACTCCATTGGTGCTACTTAAAACATTATTTGCTGGCCCTTTCCAGGTAATTGTAGGCGAGGGGTTGGCTGCTGTCACAGAGCAAGTTAAGGAGGCACGTTGACCTTCATTAACATTTAGAGTGGATGGTACATTTATCTGCGGGCTCACTGAACAGAGAAAAAGACAGTGATTTAATCACGAATGAACACCTCTCTCTCTTAATAATCAATCTACAACAACAAGATTCTATTTGGAGCTGATAAAAATATCTATTACCAATTTACCAAGACCAATGGCCCGATAAACTAACGGGCTTTACCTGTGAATAGAGAATAATCGATCAGAGCAGAAGTGTACTTGAGTCGAAAATGGATGTTGTAAAAGTGTATGCTAAAAAATTAAAGATCAAATGTTACATAACACCTTATTTTTTATCCTAAAAATCAAGGTGTTAGGATGTAAAGTAACAAAAGTTAAAAAAGCGCAAGAAAATAGGACTTTTTTCAAACAAAACTAATGGCTGCTTAAAGTAATATTTTTGAAATAAGAACCAACCAGTTCTGCTAGAAAGTGAATGTAATCAACATAGGTAGTCATAAATTAGACATAATACAACTTAAAATGGTCTGTTTTTAGTTCTGTGCATGCATATCAGAATAACACAATAGCGGTAGTGTTTTGAAGTTAGTTCAATACCTTGAATATCGACAGTTCCATTCCTGCTAGGGCCATCTCCAAAGAAATTGTATGGGATGCATTTTACAGTTGCTTTATAACCAATGTATTCTGCATAATTGATGTTTGTGATTTCGTACACGGCCGAAGTGGAGTCCCGAAGAAGGATCTCCGTCGATCCAGTTACTTTGTAGAACTTGTATTTCGCTGGCGGACCGGCACGTGAAGAACACGTGAATGTAACAGATGAACCATTTACTGGTTTAAGACTTGATGCTGATATACTGACATTGTCTGGTCGGTCTAGAGACAGCAAAAAATGCTTACTAGCTAACAACCTAAAACAACAGCACTCCAAAGTTTTAATCCATTCCAATCGCATTTCATATTGAAGCGATTGTTGAATCGAAAACTAGACCATACTAATAGAACCATAAATATGAGGGCTATGACGAACAATATCACGTGTTACATTCCAAAAAGACAGATCAAGTGTGTTAAAAATCAACATTCCTACGATTAGAGTAAGTCATATTTGAACAGAACGAATATGAAAAATTAGATTTCTGAATTTGATGATACGTACGGTTTACAGTAAGGATTGCTGTCCGCGTCACAGGTGAACCAACAACTCCATTGGAAGCAATGCAAGAATATGTTCCACCGTGTTCACGAGTGATCAAATCAAGTTGTACCAAACCATCTGTGTGACTCAAATTTTGTCCCTTTGGGTTCTGTATAGTGATTGATGGTGTTGGGTTGGCAGCAGTAACAGTGCACTGCATTGTTGCATTGTTAGTTTCGTTGACTGTGCTCGGGTTTATTGAAAATGAGATGACAGGAGGGACTGGAAAAGAAAACAAAGGTCAATTAGGGGTTGCTGTTTCTAGCACGCCTAAAATTCAAACAAAAAGGCGAACGATGCAAATACCATATATGTCGAAATAGAAAAAAACTACCTTGGATATCAAGGACGATTTCTTGACGAGGGGCTTTACCATAAGAATTATGTGCTGTGCATCGATACGTAGCGGTGTAATTTGTAAAATCCACGTAATTCAATGAAGCTATAACAAAGTTGGCACTAGCACCGTCTTGTAACACAGTCCCATTGCCAGATAAGAATCGGAAGTGCGCTGCTGGGGTGGCGCGTGCAGAGCAGGTCAAAGTGACTGTTGAACCAGTGACAGGCTTGGTTGCTGTTGCTGTAATCCTGGGTTGATCTGGAGCATCTGTTTGAAATGTCATAAAAATAAATAAATAAATCTAATAATTTGATAAGATTCAGCGACGTAGAGAAACTACTTTGATAAGATTCAGCAACGTAGATAATATTTCGCTGAAGACACTTGTCACAAGGACAGAGCTCTTCATCATAGCTTTATATGAAATACATATCCAATTTCTCTACAAAGTTAGATAAGATTTGTCAACACTTTGATTAAATAATCAAATTTCCAAAAGATCTTTTGACCA